CATATAAACAGAATATATTATTTATACATTTTGCAGGATATTTATGTTTAATAATTATTAATATCTTTAGTATACTATAAAAAAAAAACACGTGTGTACATAGAGTAGTATAAAAAACAAGGTTAAGTAAAAATAAAAACAAAGTTAAAAAGTAACAGAAATATTGTGACTCGACAATTAAATTTTCGCGCTTAGCCGTTTTATCGCGACAGTGTTCAGCCGTCGGTATCTTCAAAACGATAAATAACAATGTTCTTGGGGGATTGTATCTGCTATTCGCGATATGTTTGGCTCGTACGGTCGAATTGTTGGGAAACGTGATCTGCTAATTGTTGACCGCAGCGTTCGTATCCGACGCGCAATCGTTACGAAAAGGGAATCGCGAACGGCTCACACGATATCGCGTATTAAACCACAACACGCGGTCTCGTGTTACCTCAGCGAGGTCTTGTATCGTTATAATGCAAATTTATGTCGATACCGAGCGTAAAAATGCCACGGCCTTGCGAAAGTTCTACGATATCATTATCTTCGAACTCCTAAACGACTTATCGCTCCTAGGCGTGAACTTCGTTTAACTTCTGTTTCGGTAAACGAGTCCGTGGCATCTTTCTCGTTCTCCGGATCCCTTTGCGAAACGTTCCCTGCCTACTCTGACGCGTCAAACGAAAACACATCAAATTTTAATCTATTTCAGTTTACTAATCGTTAATATTAACGAATTAAAAATTTTGTTTCCGTATCAACTTACAAGGTGACCTAATATTTCAATTACAAATTGACGAATGTAAATCGAACTGGTTCTGAACTTTCTCACAACCTGTGTCGTTTTAAACGAATTGAACATCCGTCGACACCCGGCTGGCTACGTGACTCGAGTCGCCATCGACGGGAGCGTCTCGGGTTACATTCGTACAAACATTCGGATGGCACCATGGCGGCCCCCCATACCCGCTCATAAATCATCCCATAGCGAAATAACGACGCGCTAATTGCCATCGACGACCCACTAAATACGCCGTCGCTAACAAGCCATTCATGACATTAAAAAGGTATTAGCTTCTTTCGACTCGAGAAACTCTTCGACCGAACTCCATTGCCGGATCGTACACCGAACGATCAGAGGACCTTGAGTTTAACTCGTTTGCATCATTGGAGCAGTTAATAATGACACACGAACAACGCGGAAAGATATAAGACACTTTGTTGCTAGCCATTCAGAGTAATGACTTGTGCCCCTTTAATTTTTCCGAGCACGTATCAGAAGCCACAGGAGTTCGATCAACAAAAGCTCGTCGCTAGATCAGATTACTCTTCGCGACAATTAGATCTCGTGTTCCAAGACTGTTCCAATATATGAGATTCTGTAAAACGAGCCAAGGACAGTATTATACCGGGTGTTCAGCTAACCATGGGAAAAATTTTAATGGGGGATTCTAGAGGCCAAAATAAGACGAAAATCAAGAATATTAATTTTTCGATTCAAGCTTCGTTAAAAAGTTATTAACGTTTAAAGTTCCGCCCTTACTGAATTTTTTTCTCGAAAATGCGCAGCTTTTTGGGGGTATGTCTATTCACCAAAAATGATTGTAATTGACCCCTGCAACCAAAAATAATTTTTTCAGAACGATTTGAAATTTTTGATTTTCGTAGTAAAATTTCACAACTTCTCGAATTTTTTTCTAGAAAATGCGCAGGTTTTCGGGGGTATGTGTATTCACCAAAAATAATTGTAATTGACCCCCGCAACTGGACATAATTTTTTCAGAACGATTTGAAATTTTATTTTTTTTGGCGAAAAATTTAGGTATCGAATTAGATTTTCAGTTAGGAATTTTTTTCTCGAAAGTGCGTAGGATTTCGAGGGTATGTGTAATGACCAAAAATAATTGTAATTGACCCCTGTAATTAAATATAATTTTTTTAGTATGATTTTAAATATTTTAATTTCGTCTAAAAATTTCGGTACCTACTCGAATTTTTTTCTCGAAAGTGGATAGGATTTCGAAGGTATGTCTATTCACCAAAAATGATTGTAATTAACCCCCGCAACCGAAAATAATTTTTCCAGAACGATTTGAAATTTTTTATTTAATTGTTAATAATTTTTTAAGGAAGCCACAAACGAAAAATCGATATTCTTGATTTTCGTCTTATTTTGGCCTCTAGAGTCACCCATTAAAATTTTTCCCAAGGGTGAACACCTTGTATACTCGACACTTTAATTTCTTCCATATTGTTATTTTGTACTATCATTCAAAATATTTTTGTTGCCTCGTTCCAGTATTAAGGAGTTCTTTAATTCAGATAGAATCAAGTAAAACTGGGAAAGCAATTAAATATTAGAACAGAGAATATGCAAAATTAAATAAATATTGCAGAAAATGCATAGGTTGACAAAGTATCGTGTACAGACCACCTGATTACGCCACTTTAGTAATCATGTCAATAATTTGTTGAATTAATAAAAAATTTTTTTTATCGTAACTGCCAGAAACATTTCCGTCCCTGTAAGTGGAATAATTCCTTACAGCGCGCCATTTTTTCACATACAATCCCCCCCCCCCCGCCCCCTCCCGTACACGGCAATCAAGCATCGTAACGCGGGGTTAAAAAGTTAATAAATTAATCTCGTCGAATCAACGCAGCAGAAGTTAAACGCTGAACCCTTTAATCGCACGAGCTGGCAATTTGCTCTAATTGGTTTTTATTACTCTCTTCGAGTAATGTTTCTGACTCGCTGAGCAACGAGTGCACTGTGTAGTATGATAATGAAATTTTACTAATTTTTCGTCCGTGCAACGATATTGCAATAAATATTGCACAATATGGTCTCGTGAACGATATAAATTGTGGTAAATGGAAGCCATAAAGTCGAACAAGAAACGCGCGAACGAATGATCTACGAATCGTTTCAACGCCCCCGCCGAAAGGTTCATTTTCTACGCAGAAAAGTCTGCTAGCGATTATTCGCGGAAACGAGAAAATCACCGGGAGCTGAGGACCGTAATAAACGTTCGAACGCGCTAATACGCCCTCTAGGTTCTCGCAACAGTGTATAAAAACTGTTGGCACGAGCTTATGGGATGGGGAAACAAAACAGTCCTCGATGGGTCAACCGAGGGTTGACTCATATAGGCCCGTGCAACCAGAGTTTGGGTGAACGTCGAATAATATTGAATATGTATACAGCAAGCAGGTAAACGAAATTCACGCGTAAAATTTTAATAGAAATAATATTTCATTCAATATTTAACTATACAGGACAAATTTTAATGGGGGATTCTAGAGGCCAAAATAAGATGAAAATCAAGAATATCAATTTGTTGATGGAGGCTTTGTTAAAAAGTTATCAACGTTTAAAGTTTCGAATGTGAGAACTATCACGCGCCGTTCTACGGGCAAACTTTAAACGTTAATAACTTTTTAACGAAGCCACAAATAAAAAATTGATATTCTTGATTTTCGTCTTATTTTGGCCTCTAGAATCCCTCATTAAAATTTTTCATTGGAATATTGCATTCGTATTTACTGTCATTATTTTGCTTAATAAAAATATTTTTCACAAATTCAATTTTGCACCGTGATCAATTTTCGAAAAACTGTTCAAAAGTTTTTATAATGTACTTTTGTAGGATTGCACAGAATTATGTAAGAAGTCAAAATTATTTTAATTATCGACGGAGTAAATGATACGATTAATTGGATCACCGTACTTAGAGCGCGAGAGAAATCCCGTCTTTTTGCCCATAAAATGCATTTTCACGTTAGCAATGCTATTAATCATTAGTTTATGACAGTGCTTCCCAACAGGTGTGACGCGACACACTGGTGAGCCGTGACGCGAGTATAGCTGTGCGGGGAAAAAATTTTTAATAAATTAATGAGAAGATTTTATCTGCAAAAAATGTTCGCCGCTCGAATACTGCGAGGAAAATATTCTCATGCCATTTGCAATTAATTTTTTAACGATGGTATATTAAAAAAAAGATAATAGTTATTTTGATCAGTCTTTAATAAAAGATTTGCTTACAATCTCATATACGTAATACAAATCGCTGTAAAATGTCAACATAATCATTGCTACTTAAAAAATTCCACAATTATATAGCAGAAAACATTAGGAAGCACTGATTCGCAATTAACAAGATTAATAATTCACAAAAATTATTATCGACGAATATAAATTCGTAATGTAGTTTATACGATCACGACCTTTCAAACTTAATTGGAATACTAATGAAGTCAGGGTCGAAAACGTTTGAGGTTGTGTAGACTGAATGACAGATATACAAAGTGTGCAACGTTATTACTAACCAATACTATTTCCGTAAACAGTAAGAGTTAGAAAAGAATGGAGAAGAAAAAAGATTTACAGATGGAACGCCTATCTCAGAATCTAAAACAATGTTAATATGTGCATCTGTGTCTACACGTGTGCATTATGTTTACCGGAGCCTTACGTCAGTCATTCTGGTATCAATTAATACGCAAGTTCATGGTATAACTATATAACACCTAGAAGACTGTGTACGGCTTTTTAAATAATATTTACTAGTCAATAACAATTATTAAGAATTTATGTATGCAAAATCTGCAGATGAGCGAAGCACACACGAGTTCATCGGCCACACTGACGTTACACACAGATATAGTCCGCAAAAGGTTAACAAACCGAAGGTCACCTTTGTTTCTCTAAGAATATTACAAAAATAAAAAATGGACGTAGACTATGACGTACGTGATAAAATACTGTAAAACTTGATATTTTTTCATTCCTTTCTAACTAAAGGTTCCAAAAAAAGAACCATGTTTTTGTACCATATACGAATTCAACAGACGTATCAGAATCTGATCCAGTAGGAATCTGTCTGTAAGCACGGTGGTATAGGTTTGTCGCGGTGGACCAGTCACGGAGTGATCCTAGAGGTAAAACATGGAGTCGAGAAACGCACGTAGAGGGGCACAGAAAACACGAGAGGAAACGTTTGATTTCTCACCTCGAGCTCCTCGTAGGTGCGGAAGGCGAGTATGGCGAAGCCGTCGATAATGTCCTCCTCGAAGGGAGGCTCCTTCTGGTTGGCAGCCGCGAGGGAAGACTTCTTACGAGGCCTCGGGGGTCGCGGTGGCCTGGGCGGTCGCGAATGGCTGTCACGAGGATGACCGGTCCTGGCGAGCCCGAGGCCGAGACCAGCGGCGGGTTCCTCGTCCTCGCCGCTGTGGCTGTCCTCCTCGTCGTTGGCCCGTTGCCTGTTGGTCTGTTGTTGCTGTTGTTGCTGTTGCTGTTGCTGTTGCTGGTGGTGCTGCTGCTTTGCGGTGGCCAGGCTCTCCCTCTGCGCCAACATACGCTGGGCTCGTTCTCGTCTCCGAATCCTCTGGTTCCGTTGTTTCGCCTCGATCTCCATCTCGAGGCAGTACCTCCACTCCTCCTGCCTCCCCCCTCGTGCCTGTTCGGTGACCTGGTGTCAACCCCGCGAGATCGAGGTGCCCTCAGCACTCGGACGTCCACGATTCACACGTAGCCGTGAGAAGCGGACGATCCGTGGACGGCCACGAGCGCGACGACGAGAACGATGACAACCGTCGTGTCGCGGTATCGTCGAGCATTCTACCGCGGTCGTCTTTAATGCTTCTTTCAGCCCGAGCGTAACGGAGACGGAGTCGAAGAGCGCGAGAGAGCGAAAAAAGGACGACGAAATGGTGAAAGACGAAGAAAAGAGTAGAATAAGTGAACAAGAGCGAGAGAGATAGATAGATGAGAGAGGGGGATAGGGCTGGCGGGACGGGGAGGTGTGGGGAGAGCGCGAGTAAGAGAGCACACACTGCCTTCGGATACACACTCTCACGGGACGTTTACCGACAGGACACACGCGCGCATGCTAACACTGGCTCGATTAACCGTCTCCGCCGTGGATTCTTTTCTTCGCCGAATGTACCGAAACGGTGTTCTTTCCTGTAGCGGGCGAGTCGACGAGAAACTATCGTCGGATAAAAGACAGTTCACAGGCGGTCACACGGTGTCACCATCGATCGCGCCGCCGAAGGAAGAGGAGAGAGTCCGGTGCGTGGCGAGGAGGCACGCGAAACACGCACGCAGGGCGGACAGACGGAGAGTGAGCGACACACGGATAGAGAAACAGAGGGAGAGACGGACACTGGCACGATAGAACAGGGCACTACCATCGGCGAACACACCGAGAACGCGCGATTATCACGAATCACAGGCACGCTCAGACAGCTCCGTTCGTACACCGATATATCGGTCGTTCGACTCGTTTCTTTTTCGCCGCAGTCGTCGTCATTGTCGTCCGAGCCGCCTTCGTCGTCATTGTCGTCGTCATCCTTCCTTTTCTTCGTCTTCGTTTCTTTCTCCTCTTCCTCCACGTCGTCCTCGACGACGTACGACAACACCACCACCACCACCACCGCCGCCAGCACCGCCGGCTTCCGCGAGCTGTCTCGTTGCTGCCCTCGTCGCAAGAATCTGCTCCCACCGAGCGTAAACCAGCGCGTATTATCGTCGCACGTAGGTACCTCCACGAGCTACCGTGGCTGGATGCACCCTGCGAGGGCACGAAGTACACCGATTGTTTGGAATGGCGGATCGAACGGGCACGCACGGTTGCCGCATCGTGTGGTAAAAATGGCCGCGACCTGCCCACACCGTGCTCGCGGGCTCGCACCACCTCTCCTAACGTCGTCGTCACGGGACGATGACGCGTATCCCGCACTGCCACCGGTACATCCTCGATTCGCAGCCACGGACACCAGCTAGGGAAACCGACCGACCAACCTAGCACACGCCCCGAATTACGCGTGTACGACGCGATCTCGCCTCTATGCGCTGCTGCTGTTCTTGCTGCTGCTGCTGCTGCTGCTGCTAGCCACGGCTATGCATTTCTGTCATCCGTCTATCTCTCTTTCTTTTCCACCCTCCCACCTTTTCGCCACCTTCTCCCTTCCTCCTGTTCCGCCGTCTGTTCGGTCTGTCTCGCTTACCCCCCAACACTATTTCTCTCTTAACACAACGGCCGAGAACATGGCGTACCTATGCTTCGAAGACGGACATACGAACAGAGATACGCTCGATGTATTCGCCTGCCTGGGGTCGTGCCTCTTACACCACTGTACTTCCCCCTCTCCTACCACCTACGGTTTAGTTACTTTTGTTTTCTCACTAGCAACTTCTGTAGACTGCAACGCCACCTATCCAGATTGAAGACGGCCCTTTACCGAGTAGTTTCAGTCTCGTTTGCCAGTTGGCGCCACGTACCACGCGACCTCATCGACGGATAAGACGAGCATCGATATCCAACTTTTTTATATCGAATTCAGCGAAACCTCCACGTACAGAGAACCTCTGATCGAACAAGTCGAATTATATGTTGTGCATGTTCCATGTTACGACAAATGGCGTACAATTTTGTTTCCATAAACAAATACTGACGTAAATTATTGGTACCAATCACTGTCACTTGAATACTAAATAAATATAATCAAATAAAACACGAAACATATTTGGTAACAAAAAATTTGTTTTTTCGACAACAATATAGATTGAAAATATTACGATAGCGAAGAACGAACGTCGTTTCTTTAAGTTGGTTTATGCCACTGCGAAACGTCGAACACTCGTAATTCGCTTTCACGCGTTTTCTATTGATCTACGGATAATTGCGTTAACATTCTACTAGGAAAAGATTGTTTACACGGAAATATCGTCGACTTTCTCTACTTCGCGAAACTTTACTTGAAATCTATGCACGTTCCTCGCAGCATCATATACGAAATAACAGGAATAACAATGTTCATATTTTCTTTCTTTCAAATATCACCGTTTATCTCGTACTAAATCCTGCTAAATAAACTAGGTGGCAGATCGTGGCAGGTTGTGCTGAACGGACGGAGTACAAAAGTATAGCACATTCCATAAGATGATATAGTGGGATCCAAACAATACCACGTGACTGCAGCAGGACCGTGTTGCATTATGTTTACCTCGACTTACATCTTTCCTCGACCGCGTCATCTATGTATACTTGAACCAATTACGAACCTGATTAGACCCGTCCCGTGGACGAACCAATGAGATCTGGTCACGTGACCCGCCGTGTTTACATTCGACTTCCTCTTTTTACGGAACGTGCTATAAAAACACGTGGCTGCTAATCGATTCAGTCGATTTTCTCTACCGCGATCGAACGGTCGAACGATTCTCGAATTTCTCGCCCACGGCGTTTGCTCTTTCCGCGTAGGGAACATCAAGAATTTCCGTTCCGGGAAAAAGTCGGCGTCAGGCCGCGCCTGCGAAGGCGTGCCTCTTTTGAACCAGTTCACCGGAGCAATTACGCCCGCCGTGCAAACTCGTCCCGTCTTATCGCCCGACTTGATTTTGTGCGTCTGCTTTTGGCGATGGCCACGTTTCGAAATCCATATAGGTAAGCTTGCCCCAATCGCCGTGGGCCGTCTTCGTGCTTACCTACATTCTACACGACGATCGCGTGTAATTATTTATTAAACAAACTTTGAGCCATGCTTTGGGATTTAGACCGTTGTAAGTACAATTCTGTTGCATTTAAATCGTAACACGCGCTGACAATATTACATCGTAATTGCATCGACGATCGACGCGCCAAGTTCCGTGTGTGGGTTAACCTCGCATAATTCGACTTGTGAATTTCGAGAAAAATTACAGGACAGGACTAAATTTTATGCATTAGTTTACAATAGTTATCGTACATGTGCAGGACTTGGGGAATTCTTAAAATATCTTCGGCAAACATCTGAAATTTGACAGTATTAGCCAAAGTGGTGATAAGTTGTAAATTGTAAACAGATTGTAAGAACAATGCTGTTGCGTTAAAACGACGATTAGCGCGTGATGACAATGAGATTGCATCGGATCAAGTCGAATTTAATTAGATTATGTCTGATTAAATCTGGGTTTGAAAAACGCAGATAATTGGTGTGTGACTTCGGAATCACGTGAGATTATAGTGGATTAATTGCTCGCGCTGGTTGCCGCGCTGTTGCTTCACCGTCGTCCCAGTAATTTCTGCTATTGACATTGGCTCGATTGCGCGGTATTCTCGCGACACGGGGGACTGGTGATGCGTGTTTCGCTTCAAGGATACTACGATCTCCGTCTCTATACCGAGAACGAGATTAGCGCCAAGGAAAACCGGGAATAATGAGATTACGATGGAAGGGAATGCGAACGAACGCCGTTGGGACTTTTGCTCGTTGTTTCTTTCCATAATTCTAACCTCTTTACCAAGTAGTAATTACTCAATAATTATTTCTTTAGTATACATAACACACGCATACAGGGTGTTCCTAAAAGTTGGAAGGGAACGCAAACAAACGCCGTTCGGGACTCTCGTTGTTTCTTTCCATAATTCTAACCTCTTTATCAGGTAGTAATTACTCAATAATTATTTCTTGAGTATACATAATTCATACATACAGGGTGTTCCTGAAAGTTACGTAGAAACAAGCATCGGTCCATTTGTTATTAAATAATATAGATTGAAATTTTTATTCGTTATTCGTGAATGAAATTTGCGCAACCCTGGCGCATAAACGTTCAATGAACGTCGAACTACGTGTTCGTGAGTCGTTACGCGATACGTAAGGGCAGTGTTGGACAATTTTAACGAGGTTGCCCGGGTGAACTTAGGCCACGTTTTTTCCCCTTCGTTGCGCCTTACGTAACAGAAATGCAAAATCCTCCTCGAGCACACTTTTGAACTGTGCAACAGCTCCAATAGCGCCTATTATGGCCTCACTGTTCGGTGCAAACAGAGCGCATCGATGCGGTATTGAGTCACGGAATAACGATCGCCGGCAACGTTAACGATAACTAATTAGAACGACACACTCGACGGTGATGAAAGCGTTACTTAAGGGCGCAGTCTTGCAATTTCAAATCGAACAATCGATTTTTCCTCGTATTATTTTACAGTTACAAACTCCCATAGAATCTTCCGATGAATGTTTTTAGAAGTAGGAAATACGATCCCTAGAGGGCGTCTTATCTCTTTTGGTGAGAAAAATGGCGGATAGCGAATTTGTAGATACTTTTAAACGGAAAAGCATTTAAAATCATCAAATCGAAAATAATTTTTTCGTTAATCTTCTCATACCTTTAACCACATATGTGGACATTTAGTTTTTTTTTTTTATAATTAAATAGGTCATTTTTTATAATTAAATCTGGACAATAATAAATAGACCAGAAAAAAAAAAGAAAAATTCCTCCCTGAAGAGGTTAAGTATATGCAAACATTTAATGTGCTGTTTTATAGATCGTCGAAGTTTAAATTTTCTGTAAATAATGGGAATATCCAATTTAATTCTTCGAAGTGGAATCGTTACGTTGTCCCCCCATTTTCAGAATCCGATTTTTGTTCCCCCATTTCTCAGGACCTTTTTTGGCGACGTACGGAGATTTGAGCGAGCACGGATATTAAGATACAATATTTCGATTATGTCCACGGATGAATCACTTGGCGCGCACGCGATATAAGGTATTCACGCGGAACGTTGCATTTGCATATTAACGACCTCGAGCGCTAAGAATAGGGTGACTCTGAGAACGTATTCGACGCTTCTGTCCGGATATATTTTCCACGACCGGACGTTTATGGATGCTGGGACTAAATACGACTTCGTGCACGCTTATTGGCTCAAATATTCTTTCATAAACAAATAGGTTACCATCGTCCAGTGACCTTGACTTTCACTTACGCTATCAAGGTCATAGTTCCAAGCAACGAATCGTTTCTGGTAATAATATTTAAAATAATTTACAGGAATCGAAGACTAAAATTCTAATAAACAAAATATGGTGCGTTCTTGATTCCACGAGCATCGAGAAGAGTCGAGTTTGACCTGCTGACCGATTTCCCCAAATCACGAATCACGAGTGTCCTCGTCTTTCGCGACGTTGTATCCCTACTACTCTCGTCCCTGATTGGATTATTCCACTAACAAAAGGGACGTGAATTTTTACATGTCTCTGGATCACAATATTCATCGTTAACAACAACCATGGTACCTTAGTATCTTGAAACTTTTATATCCCTCATTTGACAAATTTATTATTTATTTACTTATCTTAGACACAAATTTATTATTTATTTACTTATCTTAGACACAAATTTATTATTTATTTACTTATCTTAGACACAAATTTATTATTTATTTATCTTAGACACAAATTTATTATTTATTTACTTATTTTTGACGAATGATCAACATCGAATACATTCATATTCTATCCGATGCACAGAGGGTTACATTTCATTATTCCTCCCACGTCGAATTGATTCTACAACCTGACGTCCAGAGCTAATTGTACAGGCAACGAAGCACCGTATAGCCGAGTTGGTCCACGGATGAAAGTAACAGTCCCCCGTTCCAGCTTGATCTCATCACTACCGATACTTCGGGCGCGCTTCGTGCCGCTCCGGCGATCTTCGTCCCCTACTAGGCGCACCGCGGCCGGCGGATCCGTCAGACGGCGCTCGATGGACGGACAGTATCGCGAGCGCCGGCCATGGCAGCATGCGCGGGAACTTCGTTCCACGTAACGTTTCACGCTTCGCGCGTTCCACGATCTCGTTCGTCCATCGCCTGATCGATTCACCTGACCTACGAGTGCACCGCGTGTGCGCGCTGGATCGATTATCGGGCACGCTTCTCCATTTGGATTTAACGGCGATCTACCAAGCCAACGGACAGAATCAGAATCAGAATCAGAATCAGAATCAGAATCAGAGAATCAGGTGAATGTAAACACGGTTCTTTCTCTCCTTTCTCTCCAGTCTCGTCTCTCTCTACGTCGCGGTGTACGGGCAGCCTCATCCCTTTCGTTCCACGGCACAGTCGCGATCCAGCGTGTAGAGACGCATGGAGAAGGCTGGCCACGCTATCGAACCGCCTTTTTCCGCGAGGATATTACGAGACTGGCATTGTCAGCGGGTTACGTAACTCGCCCGTGCACGAGAAACGATGGGAATCTTCCCAGTGCATCGGCTGTGTAAAGACACGCTTACCCAGCACGCGTTCCTTCCGTCCCGGTGTGCTTCTCGGTTTTTTTCGTTAATTGCTTGTGTCGTAACCGATCGGTGGCGAGGAAATCGAATCGTGCCCCCAAGGTCGACCATTGAATCTTTTTTTTTAACGTTTGGAGAATAGACAGACGTCTTACGCGAAACAATGATGACGATTGGTCATAGTTATTTCGACCGTTAGTGACAACTCGTGGACCAGGGTTGGAGGATTGTGAGGTTATGAGCTATTTTGCGTTTTTATGCGATGTGATCAATGGTCAAAGTCTCGTGTCCTCTTTCGTTGGAACTCGTAAAGTTTTATAGACTGTAACGATGAAGAGTATTCCTGGTCTTTCGTTGCGTAGGATCTGTCTCGATTCGTGAGATTATACGAGATTAACCTGGATTTTCGCTGGTGCTACGTCCTTGTAGAGGTCACGTGTCCGTCGCCGTTGCACGCACACCGCCCACGAGCGTTCCACCTGCTCTCCGATTGCTCTATTTATTCCGTCGCTTTTTGTCCCCTGACCACGCATTTAAATCGCCGACCGACGTACCGCGCGGTGATTTAAACGCTCCGCGAGACGAGCCCCGCGCAATTTACGACGACAATTTGCTCCTCGTGGCGTGCACTCACGCTGCACACCAGCGTCGTTAAACGTCTTTGGTTAAAAATAACGCCGCGTCGCGACGAAGGGGACAAAGTAACGATCGATCGACGAAAACTTCGTTCTTCGTTGCGTAATTATTTTCTAGAATATGTGGACTATTTTCATCGATTACAAGATTTTCTTCCACTCGCTTAAAGGTTATATTATCGCGCATCATTGTACCCATCTTGATCTTAGCTATTACACCACGACGATACGGAGAGTTTCCTTTAAAGAAGTATCGATGACCTTGAAATCTCAAAATGGTATGAACATCGAGAAAAAGAATGTTTGGATTTTTTTCAAGATCGTATTAACACTAGATCTACCGACAATTGTAGTGTGTTTATTTGCACCGAAGAAATTGTAGAAAATTACGATAAATTTTCAAAAATTCAGTCGAGTAAATTTTTTACAAGTTTTATTAGAAATTACGAATGGGTCATTTTGATTGGGTTGGTAGTTCTAGTGTTAATAATGGAAATATCGTGATGGATTTTTTTCGAGATCGTATTGTACAAAAAAAAATTATTTAGGTGTGGATTCGGTTACGACTGCATTAGGTTAGGTATGGATTCGGTTAGTACTGGATTTGGTTTGGTCTGGGTTAGGTTAGGACTGGATTTGGTTTGGTCTGGGTTAGGTTAGGTGTGGATTCGGTTATGACTGGATTTGGTTTGGTCTGGGTTAGATTAGGTGTGGATTCGGTTAGGACTGGATTTGGTTTGATCCCAGACCTAACCCAGACCTAACCTATTCCTAAACCAGACCTAAACCAGACCTAACCCAAACCTAAACCAATTCTAAACCAGACCTAACCAAGTTCTAAACTAGACCTAATCCAGACCTAACCTAGACCTAAACCTGTCCTAAACCAGACCTAACCCAGTTCTAAAACAGACCTAGACCAAACCTAACGCAGTCCTAAACCAGACCTAATCCAGACCTAACCTATAATTGAAATATCGTGCAGTAACAAAGTTACTGGAACATCCAGTATAAATTCAAGTTATAGAGATCAAGTTGGGCAACTTCGCGTCAGCTTACGAAGAAACGAACGAAATTTCTGAAGATTTTCGATAGAATCGCTGGGCGTAGAGAGATCAGAAAAACGTCCTCCGCGACGGGGGACAGTTTTCACTTGTTTAGCCGTACGCAAGCGTGACGCACCACTGACGTCACGCGCATATCCAATGAGATAAGCCCGACACGGTCGTATATAGAATTGTCGTTGAAGCGTGATGTCAATACGAATCGCGTCTGTTTTCCAGCCTCGACTCGGTCAGCGCGAAACTCACGGCGAATTACAGTCGACCAGTGGTGCTCAGTCTTTCCCACGACTGTGCTCAAACTTGGTCAAAATTTTATTCGCGAATAAAAAAATTGACAATTTTTTGTAACGAGCGTCCATTTGCATTTCGTTAATAAATACAATTATAAATTACAATAGATCGATAAAAGAATATCGCGATCGATTGTCAATTGTCGATTGGAGACGTTGATAAAATCAATTGTTGATTTGTTAATTTCTGTTTGAATATTTCGCCAACGTGCATAAGAGGGCTGTTAACGATCCGATAAACATCTGGAATTTTTTAGGGATTGAGAAACTCTATGACACGACTGCTGGCTCGCATTCTGGCCGATGGTGGCCATTTCGAGCACTTCCTATAAAGGTAAGCAGCCGCACGTTACAGCTGCACAAAAATGGCTGTAACTCGAAAACAAGGTCAAATAAGGCACGTGTTTGTATGAACTTTTTCCATTGATTCTGCGTCCCCTGTCCACCATTCGGGCAGGGCTCAGGTTTCGTGTTGCAAATTCAATTTTTCGGGAATAAAATTTACCCGTTTGAAAATCAAATTCACTTTATGGCACCATAATCTTGCTGCCTCCCTCGAAGACATAAATCATGTGGTTTAGCAATGCAGCCTCTACGACAGTTCAAGAGTCAAGTTAATCAAAAAGCTACAAAATATGAAGTCAGTTGCTGAACCAAATATTCCAGCTTGCTTATGTATTTTTAATTTTCTAAACGAATGTAAACTGCGGATATAATGTACACGTAAACATACATATCACTGTAAATATGAACCTTTTCTGAGGTTTTCAATTAAAAAAAAAAAAAAAAAAAAATCACTACGATTTGGTGACAAAATTTGAGGATCATATTTCTAGAGATCGTCGAGATAAATTCAATAACCTTTTATGCCATAACTTTAAGATGACCTTGAATTTGAGGTCGTGACAAACGCATTCGTCTGAATGTCCACTATACTATGACCTTGGAATGACCTTGAATTCGAAATTTGGACCACATGATTAAAGTCTTTAATTTCAATTGTAATATCTTATTTGCCATAACCAACATTCTTCCTGCATTTTTACATCGTCAGAACCATTGGTGAGCATGATTAAAAAATGCTGATCGATTGTTTCTTCTGGTAGCCATCGTTCGCTCTAAGTGCGTTGTAAGCCTAGATTCTACTAGTTGAAAAATCGAGATACTTGCGTACCTGTTCCAACCAGGACGGGGATAGCTCGTGCGTAATTCCAACCGCAAGGACACGAGTGCTCAATGGCGTAGGCCACGTATGGGATACCACGGGCCCTGCAACAACTCTGACCCTTCGCAACAACCCAACCAAAATACGCTATTCAAGTTTATAACATGAGTTTCTCAATTTTTTATTCGTATCTTGAAGAATACAAGGTGATCCAAAACATTGGGTCTAAATAGTCTGTGGAGGCCTGTGGAAAAGGAAAGAGGGGAGGATAAATGTGGGGATTCGGTTAGGTGTGGATTTGGTTAGGACTGGATTTGGTTTGGTCCCAGTCCTAAACCAGACCTAACCCAGACCTAACCCAGACCTAAACCAGACCTAACCCATTCCTAAACCAGATCTAAACCAGACCTAACCCATTCCTAAACCAGACCTAAACCAGACCTAACCCATTCCTAAACCAGACCTAAACCAGACCTAACCCATTCCTAAACCAGACCTAAACCAGACCTAACCCATTCCTTGTTTCAATTCATTCAATTTGAAAATTTTATTGAATGGTATTTATATTTTTCAAATATTGGATTCACATTTTTTAAATATTCACTTTATATTTTCTAAATATCTAGTTTATATCCCCCGAATATTTAGCTTATATTTTTTAAACATTTAATTTGTATTTTTTGTACATGTATGCAATATTCAGATCCAATATTTTTCTCATGCGAAAAAAATGTGGCTTAAAAAATATTTTTCTCATGCGAACAAATGTGGCTTAAAAAATATTTTTCCAATATTTGAAAAAAATATTTAGCCGATATTTTTGTGCTGCTAGGGTATATACTAATGGAAGGTCTTTCGAGCGCTTGCGAGAGTAACGGTCCCTCTAGTGGCGAGTACTGGAGGCAACGTACCCCACAAGTCTAACTCTTCGCGCCTCTTCTCTTGGACTTACGATGATCCAGAGATCGACAACGTTTGGGCCCAATGTCCCCATATTTACAAGCATACATATATGCATATGTGGCGCACGCGTGTTCAATCTCGATATCGTATCGCAGTCGGTATCGATGTGGTCGCGACCACAGACCCAGCGTGCCACCGCGGCCTTCGACTTCCAAGCAGAAAGAGCGTCCCTATGAATTACTATCCCCCGCCTACAGGCCGATTCACGCGACTGTAACAGGCCATGAATACCTTTGTCATGGTTCAAATTAAAAAAAAATTTCAAAAATTAGAAATTTTGTTCGAGTTTTGGTTCAATATTGAGTTGAAGCAAATTTTAATTTCTTAGAGGAGCTGGATTAACGGATCACGAGGCGAAGATATCGGTGGAGGAATCAACAAACCGATAATCCCACCTCTCGTAACGAAGGCCGATCGAAGACATCAGGATCCACCATCAGGCATGATCGAATGATGGAGGTGCTATCTACGCGCCGATACGAGGCTCGACCACCATCAGCGAGCCATCCACCGATCCTCGTGAGTAGATTTTATCGACTTCGTCCTCCATCTTACGGTGAGAATTGGATCGTTTCAACTTGAGCTCCGAAATCAATTTTTGTAAACGCCTTCTTATGAAATAGTCTGGGTTAGGTCTAAGTTAGGTCTGGGTTAGATCTGGCTTACAATATGATTTTTCTTTTAATTAGAATATGTATTCATGCCATTGCATCGATAAAATTCAACATGAGTTGTTCAAAAATAATTTTTACGGGTTCTGCAATTTTAAATGTGGACCAGACATCCGTCAAATTGACGGTTTCCGTAAATCTAGTGTTAAAAAAAATATTCGTCGATGTAATTTTAACCGCGCGAAGCTATGTAGGATTGACACTTTACCGACCGGTAGCCTATTAATCGACTTTTTACCGATCAACGCTTTACCGACCGGTAGCCTATTAATCGACTTTTTACCGATCAACGCTTTACCGACCGGTAGCTTATTAATCGGTTGTCATGAAAATAAAAAATATCACTAGATTTAACTACCCTATAATAACAGAAAGAGAACAATATAGTAACCACTGTCGCAAAGTTTCATTTAACATTCCTACTAACTAACTAACTAACTAACTAACTGACAAACTAACTAACTGGAAACTAACTATCTAACTGACAAACTAACAACTAAGAAACAAACTAGAAACTATACAAGAAAAAGTAGATATATAATCTAGGGTCAATCGGTACCGGTCGGTAAAATGTTAAGTAATATAATTTAATTAATTAAAATATCGTTTCTATTTTTCAATTAATGATTTACATCGACGTCCAATTATATTTAGACGTTGTTCGTTCCGGTCGGTTATCGGTGCATTTACCTTAAACCGTCGCCTGGTAATCCACCGTCTAACCGCTTGGTTTTTCTTGTTTTTTTTTTTTCCAGATCGACCCTGAGAATTCCGTGGCGTTGGTCAAAGAAGGTAATTCCACGAACACGATCGTCACGCGTTGTTTGCTCGCGACGCGGACGTTCGAGCCGTGATTCGAATAACTAGATACCAGATAAGAGGGAAGGCGTGTCGCGCGCGCACCGACATCTCGTAAACGTTCTACGTGTTGGCGCGAAATGGCACAACGCTAGGAGGTGTCCACTGTCGCGAACCTTTTCAACTATTCGCGATCTTACACGAGAGTAGAATTTATTTTGTTGAAATTAACATATTTTAACTCGGGGGAAAAATATTAATTAAATCCGTCGTTCGTTTCACTTTCGTTTTTGTTTCGTGATGGTTTGTCCACGACCGGAGAGATTTCTTGCGCGACAAATAGTGAGTTCCTCGGCCCGCGACGAAAGAAATAGCACCGCTTCCGGTTTCAGAGGAATGGGAGACCCGCAAGAAGAAGGAAATAACTACCACCAGGCAGATCGAGACCAGAGTGAAGAGGCAGGTCGTGCTCGAAGATGGCGAGGTGGTCGTCGACTCGGGGCCCCTTGTCACCACCAACACCACCGAGGATGTCGAGCAACAGGAACACACCACTCAAGAGGTACGGAATTTCTTTCGCTATACTGGGCGATCTTAGAAACTGGAACAAGCTTTAGTGCTTTTCAATTCGAATTATATTATAATATACAGGGTGTTCGACCACCCCTAATTCGGTAAGTGGACCAATTTTTTGGCGAAATTACAAATTTTCAAATCGTCCTGAAAAAATTATATTCAGTTGTGAGGGTCAATTGCAATCATTTTTAGTCATTACACGTACCCCCGAAATCCTATCCACTTTCGAGAAAAAAATTCGGGAAGTGGACCAATTTTTTGTCGAAATTAAAAAATTTCAAATCGTTCTGAAAAAATTATTTTCAATTGTGAGGGTTAATTGCAATCATTTTTGGTCATTACACATACCCCCGAAATCCTATCCACTTTCGAGAAAAAAATTCGGGAAGTGGACCAATTTTTTGTCGAAATTAAAAGATTTCAAATTATTGTAAAAAAATTATTTTCGATTGCGGGGACCAATTACAATCATTTTTTGTCATTACATATACCCCCGAAATCCTATCCATTTTCGAGAAAAAAATTCGATAAGTAGACCAATTTTTTGCCGAAATTAAAAAATTCCAAATCATTTTAAAAAAATTGTATGCGGTTGCGGGAATCCATTACAATCATTTTCGGTGAATAGACATATCCCCAAAATCCTATCCATTTTCGAGAAAAAAATCCGAGTAGCTACCGAAATTTTTAGACGAAACTGAAATATTAAAAATCATACTAAAAAAATTATATTTAATTACAGGGGTTAATTACAATCATTTTTTGTCATTATACATACCCTCAAAATCCTACGCACTTTCGAGAAAAAAAATTCTTTTCCGGAAATATACTGCGTGGCCATATTTCTCCGGGGTGGTCGAACACCCTGTGTATATATATACATATATAGACAAAACTGTCCTTGACACATACTGCAATGACATTGAAATCGGTGCAGTGACCCCTATTACGAACAATTACCCAATTGAATATTCCATTTTAGTTTTATTGACCCCATTTATGTTAACCGAGATCGCTTCACGAATCATTTGATTTTCAGAGGCGAACGACCGGTGACCAGCCGCAAGAGGTCGAGTGGCCAACAGGTGGCAGAGGGCCCGCGGACGACGGTAGCGTGGTCCAAAAGGAATTAAACGAGACGGTGGTGAGGAGCCGCGAAGAGATCGAGGAGAGGCTCGAAACAGAGGATCGTCAACAGCTGGGAGATATCTCGGACGAGGTACCTACAATATCCACGCGACACACCCACGCCTAAATTCCACCTGCGCGTGCCGCGACGGAGCGGCGCATGCGCGTCCCTTTCCCCCTCCCGTCGCGGCTTTAAGCGCCACGAAAAGGTCAGACCGCCTTTCGCGGAGGCTCATCGTCCCACGTGTCGCCGCGAGCTCTGCGTCGACGGTACAAATGCGCGGACAAAAAAACGTTTCCTATTAACCCTTCGAATACGACGTCCGTATACCGTGTACCAATTCATAAACCTGTGTCAGTCGTTGACAGATGTGTCTGGACTGCAGTGTATCGGCATAGAGAATTTGGTGGCGCTATCTATCAATTTATAACTCGAATTTCAATTTTTATTATTATTTCACTTTCATTATTCTTCGTTTCATTATTCGCGATTTTTCTGTGTATGAGAATGTTGCCCATCTCTGCTCCCGATACGCTCCAGTCTCTAATTTAGTTCAAGGTCAACTTGTCCAGGCATGAGGCTGCGATCTTTGAAGGTTAATCGCGTAATCCTAACGAACGATCGAAAATTTGTGAAAGGAGAATAAGATAAACGTTTTAGCAACTGGACAATTAAGGACAAAATTTCCATTATTAAAATTTTTATTATAGTATACAATTCACGTGCAGTTGTACATTCATGAAAGAACAGATTATCTATTTTTTGAATAGTATATGAAAAGTATATTTACATATCATTAGAGTCCCAACACAGTACATCTTATTTGATCAAAATAAATTACTTAACACATTTAACATAGTGAAAAAGTAAAAATAAAATATGACTTGTGGGGTACTGGCATCACGTTGCATAAAGTAAATCAAGAAATGATATTACTCAATGATTACCCAATATTGTAGCATTCGAAACTGCTAAACAGAAGGAAACAACTTCGATGTAGGTCATCTGATTCGCCTAGGTGATCATCCAATCCGGTTGATCAGTGACTCCCCCTGTCGCACCATCGTTGGAATTCGGTTCACGTTCCCTTCTACCTGCAAACATAATCTGCGCGTGGTAGGTTCGTGTCAATCCACTTTCCCTTTTAACGACAACCTGACTCCTCTGTCGGTCACGAAAAAACAAGATCCGTTATTAAACCCCCGGATCGGCAAACGATGGGTCTATTTTGTCCCAGATCTGAATCTCAATCAATTCGTATTCCAGTACAAAGTGTCTGGTCAAATTTTGGAATTTTTTTTTACTCAAGGTCGCGAGAAGGTTATGGTACCATAAATTCTCGAATTTGTCTTAACCTCAACTACCATGATACAATAAAAAAAAATATGCATTTTGGGTCCTTGTGACTATTTTGTAACCGAAATCACGCGTCGTAACTTTTCAACCCCTGTCGACGAGTTAGCAGACGGAAAGAGACGTGCAAGGAAGGAGGTCCCAAGTCACGCAACAGGTGTATCCTGTGCGATCCTATTTGTCACGCTGCTTATCATAAATCTGCGGTTAACGGATCCGACGGCTGTAATGGCACCCGGGAGTCAGTCTTCCTCTCGCCTAACGAGATTTCCACGAACCGTGGACGACCCAACGACCGTAAGGAGGATCTCTGTAAAGGTTGTGCACGCTTCCTCGTGGCACAGTAACATTTCAGTCGTACGATCGTCGCGCTAGGAGTGAAAGAACCCTGTCTTGTTGGAATAAAGAAAGATCTGTCTGAATCCATCACTTAAAATTTTTTAATTTACACTACAGAAATGATACTAGCCATCACAACCATCAAATTATAATTTCAAAACAGAAATTGATTTATAATACTGTTAATTAACAATTTATTATCAGTGTTGATATTTATTTGTAGGTTAGTTAGTAACTTCCATTATATACTCGTTTAATGGCTCTACGGATGCAAAAAAAAAAAAAATCTATGCACATCCACGTTCGGTGTCATAACAGTTGCATCACCTAGCGTTCAGAAAGCGCACCATCGCTTGAAAAAATACGATACGAAGTCCGTACCGTGGACTGGATGAATTATAGTCCCAGTTATAAATAGATTAGCTTCGCGATTCGTTCTGAAACCGCAAACGGGTCCAAAAGTATATTTCGAAACGAGAGTCCTGACTTGTATCCACTGGGATCGGGTTCACGCAACGATATCCACCGAGGAAAGCGGAGAAGAGGAAACCATCTAGCTTCTGGATTGCAAAAACCGGGCAACAGGTATACCGGGGTTCGCGCACGAACGATTCGGATAACGAGGAGGCCCGATCGTTCTGGTCGAAGAGGACCGAGAGAAGGATAGTCCGCGGCGAGGAGTGGGGATAGCAGCGACAAAGACGCTCCAATCGGGACGCGGGACGGACAGAGACGGCGGTAGACGAGGACGGAGCGCGCGTCGCAGAAGTGGAAGTCGATGATCTCTCGACTTCTCGGTCTCCCTTCACCGAATGGCGACGAACCGGCCGAGATGCCGCGAGATTCCAGTCACAGCAGCTGTTCCGAGTCGAACAATCTTCGACGGTTACGGCGTCTCGCGCGCAACGCGCATTCCACGGCCGTTGTCTACATTCTCATCTGTCCGGGCCTATTATGCGATCCATTGCGGTGATAACGCTCGTCCTCGTCACTGTCCAGCTCGTTGACAGTACGGCCGGTATGCGATAGTCACCGACGTCGCGGGGATATGACTGCGCGGAACCGACGCGCCGGCACATCGTATCCTCGTCACTCCGGCTAACGAGTGGACGCCCGGTGTGTGCTGTGTTTTACGATCCCGGTGTGCCCGTCCGACGATCGGTGCACCGTGGGATGACCGACGTTTTATTCACGATTTTCAAAGGACACGGTGACCATCGTCGTTTCTGGTTCGATCTCAAAAGTGTTCTCCCCCCTTTTAGGACTGGACTCGTGTTATGAGAAGATTTTGTGGTGAGTTTAGTGGGTTTTGGTAATTTCATGTTCTTGAGGCTAGGGCCACACGACAACGAAGACACCAAGATCGGCGTTCCTGTATCTGCTTGGTTGCTTTCAATCGTAAGACAAAGAGAACGTCGTTTTGGCGGTCGTGTGGCCCCGGTCTGGGACAGCTTTTTAGGTTAATATTGGTTCGGTAGAATATTGCAAGACGAAGGTGAATATTTGTTTGGAGATTATGGGGGCAATTTGTTTATTATCACATAAGATTATTATCACAAGTATTGGACATGTTTTTTGATGTTTCGAAGCGGTTATCTTTTGGGTTTATTATGAATACGGTGTGAGAATTTATGGTAGTAAAAGATTTCTGTTTAACCTTCTGATGTATGGCCATATGAAAGGGGCTGTAGTTTCTCTGACAATTTCATTTGTTTTCAACTTTCCCATTATTTTAAAATAATACATAAATATCTGTTTCGAGATTGTGGAAAAAACCAGTGTACCATACTGCCTATTACAATTTCCACATTATAGAAATAATTCCTATCAATATTATAATTAAAAGTAAGATACCAGTGTATCAGCCATTTTGAAAATGTTCACCTCTCAGCAACTCTGTCGACTCGACCTCCCCGCTTCTTTCGCGCCTTCCGATAAACTGCAAACGAAATAATGAACGTTTATATCCACGTTGCGAAACGATCTCGCGTTACATAATCGCTGAATGCGATTCGTATTGTGCCCGGAGTCGTACTCGCGCCGAATCTTTCGCAACGTTGTCAGCCTCGTTTTATTTTTACCGTCCAGTCGGGTGTCGTGACCTCAGCTGTTAGGAACACCTTTCTTTCCACTTGTTCGCGAAGGGAGCCCCGTCGAAGGCCGGACGATCCGGTTTTATCGGGCGGCCGGATTTCGGAGACGCGCGTTCCGTCCGCCAGGTGATTTTCGTACGTCGAGTCGGGTGTACCCCCAATGGGCCGGTGCTCAACAGTGACTGATCCGGTTTCAGGCGTACCAGAACGCGGTGAGGAGCAACCGCGGCGATCTCAGAGCGGCACTCGCCGAATCCTGCAAACAATTGACCTCGCAAACGGGCCCCAAGGTCGTCCAGCACACGACCAAGTCGAACAAGGTCATCGACACCGAGAAAACCTTGGAGAAGAAGGAACTGAAACCTGACGGGCTGATCGTCACCGAGAGGAAACGGACCGTCGAGCACGAGGAGGTCGGTAACCTCGAATCTTGCATCCATCGATGTTAGCTAACAAAGGCTTTTTTTTGGTCTGTCTATGCGCGCCACCTAGGGGGGTGTTTAACAACATCAGCGTGGGGAAACCCTATTAGTACAACACAACGTTATTAGTTAATCGCTAAATATGTATTCTGATAACTGTAAATGATATTTCATAGTCTTTTTAATTCTTTTAAAAATGTTTGTTAGAATTTTTTTCCTTTTATAAGAAAATATTGTGTTTTTTTTAAAGTATCATTGACTAATGTGCTATGATGGTGTGTGCAAATCTGTAATGCACCTAGAGTGTCTATGTAAGAAACTGTAAATAGTTTAGGGTGGTTACATAGCAGTGTGATTGCAGATAAAGGACGACGAGGTTCCCGACGACGGGAGCGACGCGAACGGGGACGACGCATCGGAGAAGAGGAAGGAAAGCTCTCACAGGTTTGTCAAGAAGAGGGACGAGGACGTGGTGGACTACATCTCGGGTGGCGAGAGGGTCGCCCGAGAGATGCGCTACGTCGCTGAAACCACCGAAGGGGAACGGATAGGCGACTGGACGCCATCGCCAACGGCCATGCGAACCACTCGCTTCCACAAGCCTGGTGGGTCCTGTAATATTAACGAAATTACGCGAAACCATCAAAGGAACGAATCTTTTCTCTACTTGATAAAATGAAACACGACACGTGTGGATTCGGTTACGACTGCATTCGGTTAGGTGTGGATTCGGTTAGGACTGGATTTGGTTTGATCCCAGACCTAACCCAGTCCTAAACCAGACCTAACCCATTCCTAAACCAGACTAACCCAGACCTAACTCAGACCTAACTCAGACCTTACCCAGACCTAGCTCAGACCTAACTCAGACCTAACCCAAACCTACTCACGAGAAAGAACCGACTGTTGCAGGCTTCCCTACAGAGGGCTTTACGGGGCGCAAAGACGTGTTAACGAAGAAGCCACTGGACTTGGAAGAGGAAGATGAAGCAAGAAAATTCGAGACCTCCAAGTGGTTGGAGAGTCACTTCGGCAGTGAGTCACGTTCCTCCCAAGGTTCCATCGAGGCAGACGAGTCTCCACTCCACACCAGCACCAACACCAGCTACATCAACGTTACCATGAAGTCCTGCACCCCCAAAGAGCGCGATTATCAGAACGTTAGCTCCGGCAAGCACCAACGACGTAGCACCGGTCGAGACTCCACGCCGCCTTCGGGATATTTTCATGGGATAAGCGAATGGTCCGAGAGGTATCAAGGAAAAGGTATTTAACCAGTTGTTTCTCATAGCATCTGTTTCCAAGACTTCACGTTCAATAAAAATGCTTATTTAGAGAGACAAAATCACGGTAGAACGAGCTCCCCGTCGCAGTACGTCGAGCCAGTTCACACGAATGGACACGCACACGATCATCAGAGGAACCAGGTCCAAGAGTCTACGTACTCGCGTACCTATGAGTCTGTTCTTCGCCGTGAACACCAGGAGTCGATTCACGACCGACAACGTACGCCATCCCCACCTGTCAGGCGAAGATCCAAGGAACAGGTGCATTCAGACTCCCACAAATGTTAGAAATCAAGCTACTAATGGTGTAACGGCTAGTAACGCTAATGGTGTCCGTTTCAGTGGTCCACGAGGTCCGAAGAGAGAACCAGTGTGAACGACACGGTGCCAGGTAGAACGGCAAGCCCGGTCCACGTGGTGCAGAGAACCTGGGAGACCCGGAATCGAGACGTTCAGGAGCAACCGGTCGAGCGGGAGAATCGCAAGAAATCGATCTCGAGGTCTCGGTCCAGTTCGCCCAGACCAGAGTCTACCCCTCGCGGCAACAAAAAGCCCGTCGAGACTTCGACTCCGGCCCGTCCTGCGAAAAGTTAGTGTCAGAGGCGTTTGAAAGCAGGGCTGGGACCATTCGAATCATTCATATACCTATTACAACCAAAAAATGTCTCTTCGACACCTTGGTCCTAGCCCCCATCAAAAATATATAAGCAATTTGTAATAAATTCGCGTGTCGTCCAGGTTCGGGACACTCGAAGTACAAGATCGGCGAGTCGTTCAGAAAGCTGGTGGGGAAGTTACGCTCCGCGAGCTCCGAGAGGAAGAACAAACGGACGAGCAGCAGCTCCACCTCCCAGCTGACCCAGACGGACGACAACGGGCCGACTTACCTTCAGTACAACGTGATAGACAAAAACATCCCTCTGCTCCATCAGAGGGACGTCGAGGACAAGCCACCCGAACGACCGCCTAGATCCCCCAGAAACGCCGCGATGAACAACGCGAACAAGACGACCAAAGTGGTCAGGACGAGCGACCACGTGGCCCAAGAGCAATGGCAACGCAGCGAATCCACGCCACCCGTTCATAGGTATTACCTGGGCGAGGATCCTTTCGGTGGGAGCATCTACGGCCGCGAGAAAGGCTATCGGGACGCGAGGCGGTCGTCGAAACCCCGTGGCAGGACTGTCGCTGAGACGGAGTACAGGTAACCAACCCCACTAATGGTGTTAGCACGTTCACTGTGGTACGGGACATAAATACTGATCTGAGCCTCAAGGAGTTCAAGTTCTACTGTTTAAAAAGCATCTCTGGCAGTTTTATCAAGCTAACTACTCCTGACGTGTACACCACGTATACAATTTAGGGTGTTTTGTGGGTACCATTATTATTGGTATTTGACCCGTTCTTCCTAGTATTAAAGTGTACGTAGCAAGCTACCTCAGTGAACGTGTTAAACAGCCAATCAATGCGTGCGTCGGCTCTGCGGTTGTGCAAGCTAACTGCAGCGCAGATGGCGGCGGTGTCGCGTTGCTCCGACTGCGAGACAGAGTCACGTGCTTCGACGGACGTCGTGGTAAGCCGACGCAGGTTTACGGTAACCGTGTCCCGAAATTGTGTGCTTCGCTTGTCCGAATCGTATACCTAGACGAAAGGTCGGTCGCTTCGAGTATGGGTGAAGGCTGCATGAAAGAGGGGGAGGGCATGTGTTTTACCGCTATGTAGTTACCAAGTCGGTTTCACTGGCCATCTGGGGGCAGGGATGGGCAACATGTACTTCGAAATGTATTCGAAGCGACGAATACATTGCTGATTTATATTCCGTCGATAGCATGAGTAAATGTGAAATTCAAACGAGAGTCCATATTTGACAGAATATATGTCAGACTGTTCGTCGCTTGTTCTAACCACCGAATACACACAGAGTGGTCCGCTAAAAACAGAACGCCTTGATATCTTTGTTATCAAAGCATTAAAATCTCGGGTAGCTGAATTCGCTAATCTTGAACGCAATCTGTCAGTCCAAATTAAATATTTGCATATCTCAAATTAAAACAGCGCAAACATCGAGATGTTCTGTTTTCTAGCGAACCATTGTCTAGAGAAGTTTTCGTCCTTGCTATATCGTGCGGGCTACAGTGTACAGTAAAGGTTGGATAACTGGTCTTTGTATCGAAAGAGAAAGATCCAAGAGTCGGGGTCCTCGAGTTATACCGTAAATTGTTTCCTACGCTTGTCCAGCTTCGACTGTATTCGGTATCGTAGACGCGTATCAATTGCAAAATCGTTGGAATGTGTCCGTCCCTGTATGGAAGAACGGGAGTCAATTTGTCGAACGTCGGCGCGGTTTCAGCGTCACGTCCAGCTCCCTCGGCAGGTTTAGCAAGTCCACCGGTCGGCTGGCCAGCGATCACGAGAGGGATGATCATTTACGGAGCACGCAAACGTTGCCCAGGAACCTGCACTCCGTCGGCCAGTCCGCTAGGTCGCAAGCCCGCTCGACGTCGCGACGCCAGCACCCTCTGTCCGCCGCGGCGAGACAGGGAGCCGTGCAACACGCGGCGATCTCGCCGTCGAGCCAGTCGCGTCGGTACGGCAGCATGATCAACATCTCCATTAAGAACACGGTCACGTCGCCGAAAGTCGCCGTGCAAACCAACCTGCAGGCCCCCGCCAAGCCCGAACGAACTTACAAATCCACCCTGTCGCGCAGCAAGAGCTTCAACGTCGAGGCCGCGAGGAACGGCGTCGACACGCCCCCGCCGCGGATACCGTACACGTCCAGCCTCCAGCTGAATCGGTTGGACGAGACGCCGCCACTGAAGAGCCCGGGCATCCTGGCGAGCATCAGTCGCAGCAACAGGGACTTGCTGAGAGACACCAAACACGACTATTGAGTCGTTTCGGACGACTCGATTCTTAGACACGAGGGGGGTCAGTGCACGGAGAATGGAACACCCTCGAGACATTAACTCTTTCCAGTGCGAGTCGTCACTCGTCATGATCATCAGGGTTATCGTTTAGAGCAGTGTTGGACATTCGTGGGGAATTTTGGTCATGCGCACTGGAGCGTATGATCACTGTCGTATACGCTTAATTAAAATTTAGGGTACCGTTGGATCCCAGTAAGGAAGCAAGAACAAAAAATTTCCTCTTGATCTACACGAATATAGCTAGAGAATTACGTAGGGGATCTTCGATAAATTAATTTTTGTGTGATTGGCGAGCATTTGAAGTACGAAGTTCAATTTTGTACATAAGATACATCTATGGTAGCAGTGACGTCAACTTACGCGTGCGCAGAAAGGAATTCCCAGTGCGCATGACCAACATTCCCACGACGTCCATCACTGGGTTTAGAGTCCCTTGGTTTCTTCCACTCTTCCCGCCAACGCTGTCCAAGGCATTGAGGAATAACGAATAAAAATGTTACATTCACTTGTAGGCTAGTTTTTATTCGCTTGTCCAGGTCTGGGTAAACTATCCAATAATAGATTCTAATTTACGAATGAATCGAAACCATTTATTCGTTATTCGCGAATAAAATTTGTCCCATTCTGTTGTCAACATGTTAGATATGGAACTTCAAACCCGTCAAATTCGTAAGTGTTAAAAAACAGTCGTGTCTGACCTATCGTTCGTAGTAGTGGAAATGAGAGGGTTAATTTTATTTCTAATTCAATTTAATTGAAGTCGAAAACGTTACGCGAGTATTCGTTATTGCTAGAATGTTTTCTAAAATATTCTGTACAGTGTACAATAACGTTGACGCTGCCTGTAAACCACTATGTTGATCGTAATTGATAGATTTTATTTTATTTACGCAACACTCAACGCGAGATAGAGTTTCCTTTACTTCGCGTGTCGGGTAACATTTCCGAGATTACATATCAAGTCGACGAAGACGTCGTGAATCGTTCTTAGCAATATTTCCATCGAAAGATTTTATAGAAGGATCGAAATCACGGTTTACACAAGATTTGTTTGCATTTATAGCTTTTATTTCAACAAGAGGTATATCAAAATAGTGCATACAAACGTCGTTGATATAACATGTAAAGTATTACTAAACGAAGCGTAATAATCGTAAGTAAAGAATATAAAAATGAATAAAATGATCGGTATCTAGGGAGTTTTTTTTTTTATACAATTGGTACGAGACAATTTGTTTCTTGTAAAGATCAATATTTAATTAGACTTCTTCTTCTTCTTCTTGTTCTTGTTCTTGTTCGTGCCATTTCGATATAGTTTCCGATGCTTCTTAACAGCGAGTATTAAGATAATAGCGTTTAAGATGTAAGTACTAACACAGATCACACAGATGTTATTTAGCACGTACAAAAGATAGGCCAAGTAAAACGTGGCGATGTTCGATAGTATTCCCAACGTTACGACGGCGGCCGAAATGGGATATTTATTAATGGTACCTAAAAAAAAAACTACTGTTATTAAAATGTTATTAAAAAATAAGATGCAATATTTATGAAGAAAAGACAAGTTTCCTACAAAGCGAATCGATTTATCGATCGAGGTGTAAATTTTTTTTTTTAAATAGGTCAAATAATTTTGTAAGTAATCACACCCTAAGTGTACGAATTTGACAGTCACTGTGAACGGACCTTTATAGCAGAAACGTGAATATTAATACGTACTCAGTATCGCGACTAAAGTATAAAATACTATTCCGTATATGGAATTTGGTACGTATAGAAGAGACGACTCTGGAATTATTCCGAATCCTTTCCCATATCTGTAATAAAACGCTTCGTTTAATACACATCGACTGTTCAGGATCAAATGTTACAAATTTATTGGTTGATTGCCAGTTTTCCATGATATCTTTGCCATTTGATTAAATAATAGTGTAAAAAGTAGAAACATTATTAAAAAAGTAAGGTATATACATTTTCGAAAGAATTTTATTATATTTTTGTAGCAATAACAACAATGACTGAGGCTTAATTTTAACCGTACTCGTCAAAGGATTAAGGGAAATTTCCATATTCAAATCACTCTAATATATAACTATACAAGCCGTAAATACATATATATTCGTATGCATAAATTAATTTTATTAAGTTCGGACAATAAAGTGCCTATTAAAAAGACTCTGAAATGTACAAGCCTTAAGGCTGATACGTATGTGAATTAATCGGATTCAAAAATTTAATCGTTCGAGTATTTAAAAATAACTTCTGTAGAATTAGCTGTTCACGTACGATATCGCGATTAAAGTACAAAACGAAAAACAAGTTTGAATTGCTTGGAACGATCGATCGGTTTCGCGTCGAATCCAGATTCCAGATTCCAGATTCCAGCCACGTGTTGGAAAATTACTCGGCCAATTTCATTGTGCACGTAACGCACGAACTTCACGCCGCTCGATTCGGCGACCGTGTCCGTGTAAACTTCGTACAGCGATATTATGGAGACTTACTCGGACGAGAATGCTTTGGTGCAGCTGATGTGCTCGCTGATGTCGCACATCGCCTCGTAAGAATCGTCATCCTCCTTGGCGGTCTCCACCGCGTAAGCGTAGTAAGATGCGGCGAACCCTAGTACGCACGCCGACGTGATTCCGGCGTCTATTTTCCACAATGATCTCTTGGTCGTAGACATGGTTCGGTGAAATGCACAAACGGTACAGAAAATTTCACGTTGCCCCTCTTCGTCGACTTCTACCCACGAGTGATCGTAATTTCGGTGGTTAGATCGACTTTACTTCGACGATGAATTTCACGAACGCGTTGCTCGCGACGAGACGCGAATAATGCGGATGCAGCGATCGATAATCAGCGTGCATGAAAGAAAGAGTAGGATTGAACGTCGATCGGCGACGATTCCACCAAAGTGTTTTACTGTGCACGCGATCGTGAGGTACTAACTCGTGTTACCCTCCCTCCATGTAATTATCGTTACTCGATAACGTACGAATCGACTCGACGCAGGATAACGTACGATCAACGTACGTTTCCAAATAGTTTTGAAATAATTTCAAATCGAAGGAGGCCGGATGAATCGGAATATTTTATTTCTTAAAATTTGTACAATTTTTACAAGAAATTTTAAATACATGTTTTTCGGGTACGTTGGCTGTTTAATGATCAAAGAACAAACGCGTTTCCATCTTTCGTTCGCAGGCTTTGTTACTTCGTGCATCGCCCTAAAGACTTATCGATAACTGCCGCTATTTCTTACGATTTAAACTTTTTAACTTAAAAATAAATAGATCGGATTCTCGATGAGGAAACGAAGCGTCGTCGACGTGCGCGCGACCGAAAGAAAAAAAAATAACGTAACGCAACGGTGTGCGACGGACTTGGTTTCCGTGTTTAATTGTGACACGTGATTTATAAAGAGAATTTAGCGATTACATGTGAGAATTTTTATGGAAACTAAACTGCAGACAATAGTAAATTAACTACTTCGTATACTAATGTTACTTATAAAAAAGATAAGAAATGTAAGATTGATATTAGAATACACTATAGATATATACGATAAACTCTTTATATAATTGGAATATTTGAATTTAATGAGACTTAATGTAAAACTTATTCTTGCGGAGCCATTGCCCTAGCCTGGGCTTTCACGCGTTTCTCGTATTCCAAACGATTTTGGCTGAAACAACAAAAGCAATACTAGCACTCGTTTAGCTTAAAACCTTTGGCTGAAATTACACGAAACGAAAATAGTACCAGTATATTGTATACGCCTCTGCTTGAGCCGGATCTTTAACGTTAGGTTCGTTCAGTAAATCTTGTATACCGAGTAAGATCTGTTTGATGGTAATAGCTGGTCTCCAATCTTTCTCTTCGTCTAAGAGTGACAAACACACAGTTCCAGACGGATAAACGTTGGGGTGAAACAAGGGAGGTTCAAATTTACATTTCGGAGGACTGGATGGATAATCATCTTTGAAGATCATTCGTAGCTTGTACAATCCACCCTCCCACGGTGTCTGTGAAATTGGATGTTCAGACAGCACCGTTAGATGGAACAACAACCAAACCATTGTGAATCGTAACTTACAGATTTCTTCCCGGGTATTGCGCATTCCCAGCTCATCAAATTTAGGGTTCCATCTTGGTTTTTAATAGGTCGCGCGACAAATCCCTGTGAAACAAAAATATCAATGTTCACGCCAGCCCAGCGAAGCGATAATGCGGCGGTTAGGTTAGGTTTTCGAACGAGCAACTCGATCGTTAACGATATAGGAAACAAAAATTGTCGTTCGCGATCAAGTTGCGCTCGACCAAGAAACACATATTTTCCGTTGGCGATTGAAACGTCGGAACGATTTAGAGACGTGCAACGTATCGAGAATAATCGAAAACAGTGAACAGAGGTCTGTAGTTTGTGAAAGGAACGACGGCATTGAAGGATATCTTACGAAAGGATGATCTTTCCTCCATGCTTTTCGCTCTTCGGCGAGCCTGGCGATCGCGATGCCTGACATAATCCGCAACAAGTATGCGTTCGCGTTAACGTAACGTATTTAGGCGCGAAATGCAGTCGTGACGGCGCGCGTTCGCGAATCAGTGACGTTACCACGGCGTTCGTCGATACCGATCTCGACTTTGAATTTTAGGCACTTTCTGCTTCGAAATTTCATCAAACACTCGGGCGGCACAAGGGTGAAAGCGATCGTGTTTGGGGTGCGTGTTCGAAAAACTTATGGATTTGCAACCGGGTTCCAGGGACTCTGCGTATCCTCGATACGAATACTTTTTTTTGCAAATACTGAACCCATTGCACTAGGATCTCCGTCGGTAAAAGTCAACACGAGGCTGGAACGAATCCTGAAGAGTCCCGCCAATCAAAACTAAGGACACGTTTTGTCCAATTCGGTGATTGGCTGGTAAATGGCATGTGACTTTTAATTAATATTAACATTAATGGAAATTCTGGTTTGCATAATAAAAAGGAAGACAATTTTTCAGACCCTTATATCGACGTTCCCATCATTTAATTAAAAATTATCTTTGGAAATATTCAATTTATAAATAATAGAAGTTTTAAAAAATGTATGAATTTAATGCTAATTTTAATGCTATATTTTTGTATACGTTTCGATGTTTATCAATTTCATTGTTAAATAAAAATGGCCACGAGTCTGGAACAATGCAGAGCTTGGCCAATCAGAACTAAGGACATGTTTTGTCCAATTCGGTGATTGGTTGGTAAATTACACGTGACTTTTAATTAATATTAATATTAATGGAAATTCTGGTTTGCATAATAAAAAGGAAGACAATTTATCACACTTTTATATCGACGTTCCCATCAATTAAAAATTATTTTGGGAAAATTTCTTCTTAAATTATTCAATTTATAAATAATAGAGGTTTGAAAAATTTATGATTTTAATGCTAATTTTGATGCTATAATTTTGTATACGTTTCAATGTTTATCAATTTCATTGTAAAATAAAAATGGCCACGAGTCTGGAACAATGCAGAGCTTGGCCAATCAGAACTAAGAGCACGTTTTGTCCAATTCGATGATTGGTCGGTCAATTGCACGTGTGTTTTAATTATCGTTGATATTAGTAGAAATTTTGGCTTGCATAATAAGAAGGACAATTTTCCAGAGTTAAAGAAATTTTTATGTTGATTTATCGATCGTTTGGTTAAAAATCACCCTCAGAATATCAACAGGAAAGAAAATACACGACAAAAGAAAGTTATATGTTTGGAAGTATACTTTTCCAATTGGCATCAGTTTACGTAAACTTTCACGCCCTCGCGATGATCCATTTTACTAACAAATGAAATGTGTTAAAAGATCATTTGGAAGAAATGAGAGGTCTTTTGTTTCATAGCTAGGAATTCAGACTGAATCATTCAGAAATAAACAATTAGAAAGTGAACAGTAATACATTAAAAGATGAAGAAATATATCTGACTAAGAAATCAGAAATAGAAGAAAAATTTAAAGCAACATATATCTGGAAGTTTGGAACACAAAAAATCGATAGTTTTTTAACGTATTATAAAAATCAATATCCTGAACTTTTCCCAACACTTATAACCTTATTAGTTTACGAATATCTACAAACACATTACATTACATAAATTAACAATAATTAGTTCAAAATTTAGCTCCTTCATAACAGTCTTTCGGAATAAAAGTTTTTCATAATTGTTTCGAGAACCTAACCCTACATTATAACAGATCGCTGACTATTCAAAGACCTTGAGTAGCCTGTTAACCCCATTACGAGAAACACTACGCGAATAGAAAGGAAAACGGGAGACAAATGAAAAAGATAATTCATCTAATTCCGATTTGTTACGTGCGATATTAATTGCACATGCGTAGGAAAACATAACGACAGAAGCATCAGCCTGTCGTTAAACTCGCAACATTTGTATCAATTAATCCGTGACACGTCCCTTTCATTTACATTTAACAGCTGATTTTCGATTATAAAATCGACACAAGGTGTAAAATGAAACGAAAGAGTACGTCAGAGTTAACAAGCCACTCAAAATGAAACGGCGAGTCTGTTGCTATAATCCGCAATAGCAGCGACTCCCACGATAAATGTTATCGATTATTTGGCCTCCCAAAATGTACGCTCAGTTCGGTATACATCGGCGCATCGATGCATGTTGCATGGAAACAGAAATAAAGCGACAGGGTTCGACACGATACGTGTGTACGACCCGTCTCCCGGTTATCGATTATACTTTTTCTCTTGTACACGATTATTCGATTTGATTAGCCGAATCCACGGTTCCCTCGGTTTCGATTATGTCGCGTATACTTGTACTTCCGCATAATTTGTCGTTTGAAATAAGATAATCGCGGACTCGACTCAAAATCTACTTCTATCGTTAGGGTAGCATGACGCGGGCGGAGGTGTTTCGAGCGTAGAACGACTCGCTTCCTCTGACACGCTGTTCCCTCCATCGAAAGTTGCTTCTTCTATCAGAGCAGCATAACGTCGACAGAGGTTCAGCGGCGCCAGATGGCGCCTCTGTGACGATGACGAATTAGCTGTCAATTTTATATTTAAAATAAATTACACATTAAATTTTTGTCTAAATGCAAGATATTCGATCTTTAATCGTCGATACAAGAAAATATTCGTTTCTAATTATCGTTCTCGATGAAATATTCGTTTCTCATTGTTTTACTTTCAGACTTTTAGGGGTCTGGCCTAGATCGTTTCGTATCGCAGTTTCGTCCATCGGAAAACACCTAATTATCGCGGCGTGCATTAATGCACTATGTAAATTGAATTTCTGCGTCTGCGCCCGTATCCTGCAATATGTTCTTTTCCAGTTAAACCCTTGTGCCGTGAGTCTTAGTTGATCGTCGGCCGAGTAGCGAGGATCAGCTTCGATTTTCTTATTAGCATCGCCGGATCGTCGATCGACGCTTGTGCAATCGTTTGAACCATGTCGTTTCGTCCGCGAACCGATCGATCACCGGCATTAAGAGGTTAAACAGTTCAACGCTTATGGATGATTCGCGCGGTTTTTTGTTTCCGACGTTACTTTCGTGCCTTTTTCGGTCACCTCGCGTGCGTTTTTAAATCGAAGGATCGACGATGCTCGGTGTCTACGTATTGTAAGTAACATTTTCTTCCCTGGTCCCGTTTCGAATATTTTTTTAACAATTTTTCGCGTGGCTTTTTTCGTTGTTGGATTGCACCTTAGAAAAAATTAGAAGTACCCTTTGCACTTATCGTAATTAATTGTAGTCATTTTCAAACGACAGAATAATAATATAATTTGATTTTTTGCGATTATTTTATTGAATATTCGATGTATTTTGAGTGTGTTAATAAATTATATTCTTCTAGTCCACTCTCAGATTATGGACAGTTGTTGATTATCGTACAGATGTTTTCGTTGATTATATTCTTCTCGCTATATCTATGTCGCGCCATTACAATATGTACTATTTTTTGTGTTTGTGCATATACATAACAAAATGTTAAATATTAAAAAATTCAAAGTTTAATCTGAGCCTCTGAATGTAAAAAATATTCAAATAATCCAAATATTTGTAAAAAAAAAAATGAAAGTTTTCTTTGAACGTTGATCTATTTGCGTTTCAAGTGAGTATTTGCAACGAAATTCAAAATCAGTCGTGTAAACGTCGCGTCGATCGGCTAATTAGTAGCAAACTTCGACCACAGAGGGGAAAAAAATTGTATTTCCTCTTAGATGTAGCGATGGTTCGATAGACGGGATCGATCTTCGCGAAACATTCTAATAACAGAAGTCTTGAGACAACAGTGATTAGATAAGTAATAAGATCGCATTGTAAATGCTTCCGTGTTGGCGGAGGAATTAACCGCCGAAAGATTAGATAATATTCTATTGGTATTTGAATAGTGCAAAATTACGTGAGAGCACGATGATAGAAATGATAAATGTGCAAATATACAATATGGCCACGTGCTTCGATGCAATGGACTAATGTCTGATTTTAAATGTTTAAGTAAATTGTAACGGTCGTAGAATCTTCGAAACGTCGCTTCTCGTTTGATCTTCGGGGTTAAGCATCGTTGGGCGCGGTCGGGTACTAGGATGGGTGACCGCTTGGGGGGGAACATCACCCCGTACTGTTTGATATTTAATATTTATTCTATAGTGTTTATTTATATTACCTCTTTACATTGGTTTCATAATTGAGCACATTATGTGTGTTAATATTATAAAAAAAAATATCCAAACAAACATCAAGTATATTCGAATAGCCAAAAAAATTTAAATAGTCAAAATGGCTTTTAAACTCTGTGTTTACTTTAATCGATAATTTAAGTATTCGAATAATTCGGATAACCAAAAATGCTTGGCGATGTTCAAGTGTGTTTGGATGTCTAATAATGACCAAATATCGAAATGTCCAAGAAAAACATGTGACCAGCGATATTTCGTGTTCGCAAAGTACGGAAGCAAACAAAATAATTATCAATGAATCCGTGTGCATCAAACAGGACGATGTTTACGCTCTCGGGCGCGCAACTGTCGTCTGCGTCCACGAACGAAGTAAACTGCGATTTGCGTCAACTGTCTTCAAACACGACCAGCGCCAATTGTGACTTCAAGAAACACGATTGTCTCGTCTGTTTCCACGGTCTCGACGACGAATGGAGATCCGGGTGATTATCGCGTCCGTTTCGTTGTTCGCAAACATTTCAAACGCCAAACCGAAAATTTATGGTTAACGGTTTTTCAGGGGGGAGCACGTGCGAACTTTGGTTCTCTGCCATTGGCCCGCGGAGGCGTTCGATCCGCAGTCCACTCTGCAAGCGTTTCCCTCCTTGCAAAAATTGATAATGGCGAATGGCAATTTGACTGAGCTCACGTCGCCGTTTCCGGCGGAAGCTCGATCGATCGAGGTACGAAATTTAGATTAAAATTCTCGTTTACATTGCGTAAAAAATGTTCTTGATTATTTAACATTGAAAAGCTTCCTGTGAATATTTATTTACATATGACCATTAATAACAAAGACATTTACGTGTTTCTCGTTTAAGTGCCACCTACCCTGTGTAACAGGTTCGTATACAACGTGTAATTTATATGTTATTCGACGTGGGAATTTTTAATGGTTCAGACTGTATATTGTATATTTATTCTGCGGTATCCTGTTTAAAAAAAAAATTCATTGGTAGTGAAGCTTGTGGGTGTAAAGATTTCTTTTGGAAATACTAAAATAAATCTACGAACAATAATCATTGAATTATAAACGAGAATAAAAAAAAAAATGTTTCTTTACATTTTGTGCCCCAAGAGAAGTAAACAAAGTCGTAACGTTGAAAGAATAAAATGCGGGGGCTTGATCCAGTTTTATGAGATACTCTGTATATTTTATTTTTAGACAGACCAGAAAAAAATGTATACAAAAGTAGCATAGCATAAAAATGAACGTATTATGGTAGCGTTGGTTATTTTAAGTGGGGGCGTAGACAAGATCGCAAGGTGAATTTCATTTTCTTTTTTTAAGGGGCACTTAATACTTTTTTTATTCTTAGCGTTGTGGCGTCACGTCTCGTACTTGCCACCAGAGGGCTACGCACTTGTCTCTCTCACAAGCGCTTGACTGACCCCTCCGTTTCTATATACAGAGTGTTCGGCCATCTTTGGGAAAAATTTTAATGGGGGATTCTACAGGTTAAAATAAGACGAAAATTAAGAATTTGTCTATTGAAGCTTCGTTCAGAAGTTATTATATGTTTTAAACATACGCATGAAATTTCGGGGCAACATTTCTGGCCACACATTATGTTTTCACAGAAGAATTTTTTTCTCGAAAGTGCGTAGGATTTCGGGGGTATGTCTATTCACCAAAAATGATTGTAATTGACCCCTGAAACCGAAAATAATTTTTCCAGAACGATTTGAAATTTTTTAATTTTGTCGAAAAATTTCATACATTCTCGAATTTTTTTCTCGAAAGTGGGTAGGATTTCAGGGGTATGTCTATTCACCAAAAATGATTGAAATGTATCCCCGGAACAGCAAATAATTTTTTTGCAATGATTTGAAATTTTTTAATTTCGACAAAAAATTGATCCACTTACCGAATTTTTTTCTCGAAAGTGCGTAGGATTTCGAGGGTACGTGTAGTGACCAAAAATGATTGTAATGAATCCCCGCAACCGAAAATAATTTTTTTACAATGATTTGAAATTTTTTAATTTTTTCGAAAAATTTGTCCACCTACTCGAATTTTTTTCTCGAAAGTGCGTAGGATTTCGAGGTTATGTCTATTCACCAAAAATGATTGCAATTGACCCCCGGAACTGAAAATAATTTTTTCAGAACGTTTTGAAATGTTTTAATTTTTTCGAAAAATTTGTCCACCTACTCGAATTTTTTTCTCGAAAGTGCGTAGGATTTCGAGGTTATGTCTATTCACCAAAAATGATTGCAATTGATCCCTGGAACTGATAATAATTTTTCCAGAACGATTTGAAATTTTTTAATTTTTTCGAAAAATTTAGTACCTAGAATTTAAAAAAAAAAATCGAAAGAGTAAGATTTGTTGTCAGGTTGTGAACATAACTGGGACCAGGCTGCAAACACTGCCCGACCAAATCTTTGCCAATCTCTCGAAACTGAAGGTCCTCGATCTGAGGAACAACACCTTTGGGGAGATCGACGTAGCATCGTTCGACGTTCCTTCGTTGCGTCATGTTTATCTTTCCGGTAAGACAGCTGATCTTGCAGCTTCTGTGTTCATATCCCCTCAATACTCAATACTCAATGCAAGATCGTTCCCGAAGGTAATCCCTTGAGATGCACGGAGGACGCAACGTGGATCCTGAACCAAGAGAAGGGCTCCTTCAGTCGGAAAATCGCTGACAAGGACAACCTTCGTTGCACTGCCCCCTACGAAGGCAGACCGCTGGTCCAAGTCGTTGAAATAATCAAAGTAAACGAGAATGGTCGCCATTTATTAGGCCATCCCCATGAGTCTTATCTCCAAATGTGAAAAACACCGTGACGGATTGCTTAAGAAATAAACTGACCAAAACAGTATTTTCTGGGACACCCTAATATTTATAAGATTCTGTAGCGTCGTGTCCTCGACCTAAAGCATATTTCCCTCTTACAGATGCTGAAAGAAGAGTGCACGAGGACTGTGTGCGACTGCGAGCTGGTGTACGTAGTGAGCCAGGGTGGTAAACACATCCAAAGGCAACTGATGGCGTTCGCCTCGGTGAACTGCAGCCACCGTGATCTGACGGAAATGCCTAGTTTCTTGCCAGCGAACACCACCACTCTTCGTTTGAATGGAAACAAGGTCGATTCATTCTTCATATTCAATTCATAAAACTCTATGTCACTTCAACAAATTAAGAACGCTCCTATACCTCGGATTCGATTGGCTCTGTTACAGATAAATGACCTGACGCCGCTCACCACGAACCCTGTCTACAGAGGAGTGGTAGACCTGTACCTGGATAACAATCTCATCGAGTCGATCGTCCAGCTGGAGGGATCGAGTTGGGTGGATCGTTTTCGTTTGCTCAGTCTACGTGGCAACAAGCTAACCGATGTTCGTGTCATCATTGTTCTTAATCTAGGACAAGGACGTAGTCAGGATGAAGCAAATGGGTCACTTGCTCCCCTCCTAGCAAGTCTGAGTTCAGCTTTCTTTGGAAATATATGGCTGAAAGCAAAATTAAAGAATTAGAGAACATTCTGACTACGCCCTTGATGCAGGATTAAGCGTTGATGTTTATTACCTACCTGTTGAGTCAGGGGATTTACGTTCCGTTACACTTGCAGCATTTAATATGCTAATTAGGATTTAAATGCTTAAGAGACGATCAGCTTATCCGCGACATTGTTTTAGCTGCCTACGTATGCTCTGGCGAACGTGTTGCAGCACAACGGAAACGCCGTCAGCTTGTATCTAGCGAACAACCCGTGGCGGTGCGACTGCCTCTTCACGCCTGGTTTTCAGGTGAACGAACGATATAAACATACATACCCTAACACAAGGCCATTTGTGAGGAATAAAACTTAATTTCAGGATCTGCTGATCAAGTACACGAGTCTCGTGAAAGACGTCAACGACATCAGGTGTTCCCTGGTGAACGGTGACGAGAATTCTGGCAAAACTGTAAGCAATTCGCTGTAGAACGCTAAAACGAGACATCCAACGCATTTATAAATACAAAGTGTTCGGTATCTATACAGCAAAAATTGAATGGTAGATTCTAGAGGGCAAAATAATACGAAAATCAAGAATACCAATTTGTCGATTGAGGCTTCGTTTGGAAGTTATTAACGTTTAAAGATTCGCCTGTAGGACGTGCTGAGTGAGAACCACTGTCGTGCGCGCGCAGCTGCTTGCCTATCTACAAGAACTTTAAACGTTAATAACTTTTAAACGAAGCCTCAATTGACAAATTAATATTCTTGATTTTCGTCTTATTTTGCACTCTAGAATCTCCTATCAAAATTTCTGTCGTATAGATACCGAACGCCCCTGCATGGTTATTTAAAAATTTGGCTCGTTTCAAGATACGCGACCTGACGCGCATAGAGATCTGCACCTCGCCGGACGAGGACCCGTTGCTGCATCCTTTGGACGTTCTGAACATCATACTAGCGTCGCTGATATTCCTGATCATCGGGAAGTTGTTGTACGACTACTGGTCTTTCAAGAAAACCGGCAAGCTACCTTGGATAGTAGCCAAGATACCTTAGCCAAGCATTGGTCTCATCCAATGCAACCATGGCCTTGAAAACGAAATCCCCTCAGCTAGACCTAGTACATATCTGTTGAATGGTTTTTTCTAGCCGACTGTCCTGTTCTATAGTCGGATGAAAATCAGAGGACAGCTCAGGGCCGTCCAGGGTCTATCCACATGCTCTGCAGGCACATGCTCTCTGCTTTGTAAAACTAGAAGTAATTGTTAAGAACAATATTTTCGTGAATCGATGAAAAATACCGTCAAGTTAAAATTTTATCATAATCGAGTACGGGAAGAAAAGTCATTTTGCGGTTTGATAATAGAGAATTTTATTTGCCAGTCGTCGATGAGGATCTAAGTATGTATGGAAGCCATCAAGATGCTTCAGGAGCCCCTCTTAGAGTCTAGGGATTTTTCAGACCGTTTATTCCTCATTTCTTGTCTGAACAATATAATTGACGGTACAACTCGTCAGCGGCTGATTTCTTGGCAACGCATTCCCTGAAACCGCGACCTGTAAATGCAAAAGCTTGATGGAAAAATGGCAAGAACACAGTGAAACCTCCGTATCCGTATAGGTTAGGTAGATCTACACTCTGTTCATCTGGAATTGGCAGGAAATATATATAAACAGCTGCATCAGGGTCGAAACGTAATGGACAGATCCCTAAATATATACTATGCAGAGATGACTTGTTGGCTAGGCACCCACAAACTAAACGGGCCATGGACATCGTCTGATTTGGTCATGCGCACTGGAATTTTCCCTCGTGGGATTCCTTTCTGCGCATGCGTCACAGCTACCTGTCATCCGCTACCATAGATGTATCTTTAGCGCAAAAAAGAGGTGCATGTTGGGAATTCCCACTAATGTCCATCACTGATTCCCACCATAGGGTCTCCATAACCATTAGAGACACACTTTTGTTCCATTCATGGCTAGTATTTCGAGCGTACGGTTACGCCAATGACTCTCAGTCTTGTCCCATCCTACTCTGTCCCTATACATATGTTTCTCGTCCCATTCGTCCTTTGTCACGCGATGGAATTGTAGTCGTTAGCGCCCCAGCCAATAATGACAATGCATGTGAGAGCAGGTGTCGCCATTAACTCCTTAACACTTTGCACTCCGAATTATATTTCAATTTTGTTACCAGCAGCTCCCAACATAAAATAAAGCAATTTAAAAAAGTCGAGGAACAAACAGATTCAATTAAATATCTGTTTTATTTACACTATTGTAATATTTTGTAATTTTTAAGTTTACGATATCTCTTTGGTTTGGACTTGAAAAAGGAGCTCCTGAGATGATAACTGACGTCGAGTCACACTCGACATAGAAGTGCAAAGGGTTAACGCTCATATTTTCCAGCTTAACCAAGAGTGATTTTTCTTTTTTGGAGCTACATAGAAATGCGGTTTTTCTTTATGATAATGTTGCATCTAACGTATAATTTGAAGAAAAACAAATATCATTAACCTTTAAACTGTTACATTAAACGAATATCGTTTCTCAAAGCAGTCAGATTCGGGCATGAGCATTAAAGGGTTAAGCTACGGCCAATCGGCGTGCCTAGCCATCAAGTCATCGCTGTATAGTACATAACAAGAAAGAATCTAATTTTTTGAACAAAAAGCACTTAACCTCAATATTACATGTTCACCGTATTTTTCCCAACTCTCAACCGTAAGATGTTTTAACAACTTGTAAAATAAATTTTTAACTCGTGATTAAGTCATCTTCGATTGGGTTTAATGTGTCATGTGAGGGGCCCTTCTCAGGGACCGCTAAAAAGCGAGCCTGAGCAGTGACTTGAGCAGCCAATCATACGTGAACATAGCGTCGATCACGTGACCCTCTGTGGTTATAATTCCTGCCAGTTCTCGTTCAATCGAAATAAGGTTAAGAAGCAATCGAAGGTTCTTAGTTGTTTTTAAACGCGTGAATTACCTTTGCCAGTGTGTCCCAAAGCGGTGCAACTAGCGACGTAAGTGTACCCTTCGTTAGTTTGATCTTTATCGACGCAATATTTCGGAACTGGTTGCTTCATCTCGAGACAGATTTGGTACAGTTTTCGCTGGGCAGTTTCCCTGGGGCTGACCGTGCCGAAACGAATTATTTCCAGCATTCTGTCGAATCAACAGTTACAGATTTCGTTGTGTAAAATAATGTAAATACAATCTATGGTATCGTTCTGCCCGACTGTTTTGAAAAAAATAAAATTGCGCGTCCAGATCACTTACTCTTCGTCCGAGAGACGCAAAAGCGTGGAAAATTCCCCGTCGTTCATCTGGTGGTTGGCGATCATCCTCAGTATCGTTGCAGCCAAACTGTTTTTCGCGGATTTTTCGCTCTCGCCGCGAGCAGTTGCTACGAAATTAACGTTCGAATCCATAACACATCGAATAGAATAGAATATTAAAATTTTACTTGCAAATTCAGCTAGACTGCCGCGAATTACGACGACGTTCGATTTGTGACGATGTGGACCCTCGGTGATATACTGATACATTATTGGAACCTTGCATCGTTTCGAATACGCCTCGAAAATGTTCAACGGTTTTTTTTGCCCCGTGAATTTCGATAAACTTTCGTCGCCGCTGCCCTTTAATCAGATTCGAACAATAGAACGAACTGTAGGCGGTAAATTGAAGGTATCAGACGAACTGGAACACTGTACCTGAAACGAAACGTTCAGTGCATCGTCTTTAGTTTCGATCGAGCCTTGGCTCCTCGCATTTTGGTCCGAATCGATGTCGATCATAGAGTCATCGACGTTATCGACATCCGTGCATCTTCCTTGCCGATGCAGAACGATGCAAGACTCCTCGCGCTCTATGAAATATTACACACTTCGGTTGTACTTACAATTATAATAGTATCAATTTCTATATCGGTGTTACTTTAATTCTACAAGTAATAATCAAGTATCCAGCACTCTGGAAGGTTGAAATGCAATTACCATCCGCGATGTCGTTTTCTATTCTACGCTCCGCGTCTTCGTTTCCTTTTTTACCGACAGTGGCCGCCTCTTTGCACGATTGACACTTGCCTGAAGTAAAAAGATCGAATCGGTAAAGTGGAAGAGTGGAGATCGCGAAACCTGGAACGATCGTATCTCTATTTCCGTTGCAAACAGAAGCAATTTTATTCTCTTGGAAAATAAAATAGACTTTTTACGAAGAGGGATTTACGTTTCAGAAATTTTAGAGGTTAATCAATGGCCCTCTAGTGGCCACTATTCTCATTATCTTTCTGCTTGAAACTGAAAAGAAATATGCTCGTCCCGTTTACGCGATTCGTTCGTATCGCTGCCCCAACCGATGATCGATTTCCGCATAGCACTGTTGACAACTTTCCCCCAGGACTCCAGGCTACTCGCTTCCTTCGTTCTTTGATCGACGTCTACAGAAAACCGGACGATCAGTCTTACAATCGTTACGAAAGAATATTTCGATTTTATAATTAACACTTTACCGACCGGTAGCGGTTGATTAATCGGCTATCGGTCGGTAAGCGTTGGCCGGTAAAACAGTCGATTAATAGGCTATCGGTGGGTAAAGTGTTAACACGGACGTGTGTCGTCTCTCGAAGATGCTGATTCCTCGGCGATTGCATAATTTTCACACGCGGAACGTTCAGTCCTCGACGAGGCGTTCGATCGAATTTCAACGGCCTGATCTCTGAAAAGTGAGCTCCGATTGTCGTGATTCGATTCGAAAATTTCCTCGTACACGTCGCTCCCAGAAATCTGTGTCCCCGCGATGTTTCTGTCGGCATCGTTTTCTGTGTTCTGCAATAGGTCATAGTCCGTACGGGCGATCGAATCATTCGGATTAACCTCTGATACGTACGTCATTTTCGGTGCTCAACGACCCCCTAGCGGAAATCATCAGAGTCGATTCCTCCGAATCAGGAGTACAGAAGGAGGTGGATGTTTCTAGACACGGGGGATTGTGAATGATACCGAATCATGAAGAAACATTTCATTAACACTAAATATACGAGAATTGTGTATCTGTTTCTCTCGAACAGATAAATTAATCGTTAACCAAATTATCGTTCCTAGTGATTGGAGGTTAAGACAATCATCGTTGACTAAATCAGTGATTTCCATTATCATTTGATCAATGCTGATTCTCAGTCATCGTTGCAACGCCCCTACCCTCGAACTCGAATCATCAATAAGACTACTTCGATTTCAGTATTAATTCTAGCAAATCAAATTCGACGCCATATTGTGTAACGTTTCTAATCAGGAATTCATTAAAAATAATCCCCGTAAATACGCTCGAAGTATTAATAAGCAAAATATAATTCCCAATTTGAACGATAAAATAAAATTCATAACCTCTCCCGACTCGTCGTAAGTTTTTCACACGAATATCGGTAACGAGGTTTAATTTATCCTACAACGATGCATTTTCATGTTTTGGAAATATTCGTAAATTAAATTCTTTTTTCGTCGTCAACCATTACAAATATTAACAAAGAATAAAATAGTAGTTGATCAGTTTACTTTTGCTAAAATCGTAGAAGGGGTTAAGGCTGAAATTAAAATGTTCGTAGGGGAGGTTAGGGTTGCGGGAGAGTTAAGAAGGGGAGGAGTTAAAAGAGTAGAAAGGAGGGGAATAACCGGAGTAAGGAACAGGATTTAGAAAGTGGATGATAAATGGTGTTATTGCAAAGTTTGACAAATAGAATAGAATAGAGAATGTTCGTGGGTTGACGAGAGGATCGTTTTCAAAACGCAAACCAACCAATCTCGCGTTGGCAGGGCGCTCGTAGTTGTTGGAGAAGGTCCTCGGCGCGATCGATCACCGCCTCCATTTCGCAGAGGAGGGGAGCAGCGTTCGGAAATCTCTCGGTTATCATGCCCCAGACTATGTCGGCGTCCTCAGCCCCTTGCAGCGACTTTGGGAGATCATTCTTTTGGCACGTGGTGTTCCGGTGTTCTGACATTCGAACGCAATAGGCTTTGTCATAGCCTCGTTACGACGCGTCGAGCATCTGTCTCCGATTCCTTGCTATTCCTCAGTAATGGACATCCGTGGGAATTTCGGGCATGCGCACTGGAGCGCGTGACCACTGTCGTATGCACTTAACTAGAATTTGGGGTACCGTTGGATCCCAGTAAGGAACAAAATTTAACCAGTTAACTGTGGCGATCTCTTTGCAATTCTTTCCAAAAAAAATTTGCATGTGTTGAGCGAAGCATGGTACAATGCATAATGAATATATGAATCCATAATTGTTTCTGTGAAAACTAATTCGTAGTATATGTGGTTAATCATTTATAATTTTTATTTGTTTGTTTCATTTCGTCTTGACCTCTAAACATTTTAAACGTATTAAAATTTACGAATTTAGTTTTCGCCAAAATTACAATTTAAATATCAAATTGTAACAAAATTTTACGCATGACGGATATAGTCGTCAAACACACTTAACACTTTACCGACCGGTACCGATTTATCCTAGATTATATATATCTACTTTTTCTTGTACTTATAGGAATGTTAAATGAAACTTTGCGACAGTGGTTACTATATTGTTCTCTTTCTGTTATTATAGGGTAGTTAAATCTAGTGATATTTTTTATTTTCATGGCAACCGATTAATAAGCTACCGGTCGGTAAAGCGTTGATCGGTAAAAAGTCGATTAATAGGCTACCGGTCGGTAAAGTGTTAACTGGTTAAGGAAGTTACAGGGAAAGAGACAAAAACAACAAATTTCCTCTTAATCTACACGAGTATAGCTAGAGAATTACGCAGAGGATGTTCGACAAGTTAATTTTTGTGTGATTGGCGAGCATTTGAAGTAGAAAGTTCAATTTCTGTAGAAAACATGAGAATTCCCAACATGCACCTCTTTTTGCGCTAAAGATACATCTATGGTGGCGGACTACAGGTAGCAGTGACGTCAGCTTACACATGCGCAGAAAGGAATCCCAGTGCGCATGACCAAAATTCCCACGAATGTCCAATCACTGAGGAATAGTATTCCCCGTGTTCTAAACCCGTTTTATGAGCATTCAGGTCGTCAAACAGAACACTGAATAATTTTCAACAATCTCGCAGTTGGCTTTGATCGTTTGCGATTTGAAGAGAGCTCGAGCTGTTTGCAATTTTCTTCTATGATCCGCCATCTTTCCAAAGGTGAATTTCCTTTGCATTTTAAATGCTTTCGTACAGAGCAGATATTAATTTAGAGTGAAGAGGAAAAGAACAAGATACACAGTAGGCTTGGCATGAATTTTTATTGACAATAAGATACCTCTTACCACTAAATTTAATACACATCACATATTTCCACATTGTAATGTGATTGTTAGGAATATATACAAAAAGCCATTACAGGGAATCCTCGACATACGGAGATACATCGAAAACGTGTAGAGTCCGTTTAAGGTACGTATGAAGACATCTTATTTCTCTAAATGCGAGTGGTGTCAGGAGGATGTGTACAATTAATTAAAATTAAGTGAAACCAACGTACCAAATTGGTTCAAGCGAATAAACCATATACAAATTAATCATACATAAGCCGATCGATAGTTTACATTCGTTTTTCAAAGTTCGCGTTTCCACGGCGAGATTGATTTCTGAATTTTTCGCATTATCAAAAAACAATGTATAGATTATGTTAATTACAAGTAATGTGTCGGGAAAGTTTGACGTCTTAAGACCAGGTATGATGAAAATTGGCTTCTTGAATGTGTTTAATGTAGAAAAAAAAAAGAAGGAAACACAAGAGAAACTTCGTCAAAAAGCTTCGCTCCATAAATCCATTTTCATTCATTCCCATTCATTTTTCTCCTTTCTCTTTTGTCCCTTAATCAGCTTTCAGTTTGTTACTTTCTGGCGATTTGTCCCCGTTCATTGGCGAACGGGAGCGGCTGCGGCTTTTGCTATGTTTGCTGCCCGATCTGGATCTTGATCTGTCGCCTCTTGATCTTTCACGACTAGATCTGTCTCTGTAAGGAGAGCTGGATTAAAAGGGACGACTCGTGAAATTTGCTTTTCTTGCGCTAATTATATCCATTAAACTCACTTCGAGGGAGACTTGGCTTTGGATTTGGACTGCGACCTGGACTTTGACCTCTCGGCCTTGGACCTAGAACGAGATCTGGATTTGGACTTTGACTTAGATTTCGACTTTGAGCGGTCTCTTGATCTGTAAAATTATAGTTCAAATGAAAAGGAGACAGAAAATACAAATAACAAATACAATTGAAAACTTCTTTTTTTTTTTTCTTGTTAATGGATGATGTTCGTGTACAAAAAAAAATAAAAAAATAAAAATAGAAAAAACAAAAAAATGAAGAATAAGCGGTTGGAGAGGCCGTTGTGAACGAGCCCAAACACAATGCCAAAGTGAGGGGGATGAAACGTGTAAATATGTGTGTTCAATTGTTGATAAAATTGCGCAAGAAACAAAGCAAATAAATAAACGCCAAAAAACATTTACAACGAACGAACAGAATTTAATACGAACGAGTTAAATGTAATAAATAAAGGATCGGGATACTTACTTGGATTTGGAACGCGAGCGGCTACGCTCGGGGGATTTGGATTTGGACTTTGATTTGGATTTAGAATGTGCCCTTGACTTGGAGCGGCTGCTGCGACGGCTACGGCTACGTGAGCTGCGGCGACTCCTAGGTACAAAGAAAAATGGTCTTGTCAGATGATTCTAGCAACAACTTAAAATATAAAACAGCAGCTGATACGACTAAGCATAATAATAGATGAAGTAATAAGTTCTGAAAGTTTCTCTTTATTTCGACGATGAAATTAACAAAGTTAGAATTTTCTCTTTTTTTACCTCCATTTTGGAACGCTCTGACACACAACTGGATTCACTAAACACAAAACTGTCAGAACTTTTTTTAAAGCGTTATGTCGCCTTTAAGTCGGAGTATAGAATGTCAAGATGCAACGTATACATCATGAGATGTATGGCTCATTAGGGTTAGGTTTGGGTTAGGTCTGGCCATCTAATGGAAAACGCTCAAACCCCTTTTTACTTCACCCATTACAACATGAATGCATAGTTTACACCCTGCACGGTGTAAAATCCAGCAACGATACGCGAGATATGTAGTGTTGACTGTCATGGTACGCAATGTTTATGTAAACAATCATGATCTTACTACTTTCTGAATCAACCCATTTATAACTTGCGTTTAACACTTTGATTGCCACGTTGGTCATATATGAACGGCCACGGTTTCTCCGTGAAATAATTTTTTCAGAACGATTTGAAATATTTCTTTTTCGTCGAAAAATTTAGGCTACCCCTTGTCGATTTTTCTTAAAAATTTGTTTGACGCTCTACAGAAAAGTTGTCTAATACTTTCTTGTAGGTGCCCAAGGGTTCTGCTTTAGAAAAAAATTTCATTGAAATATATTCAATATTCTAGGAGTTATGGCCGTTTGAAAATTGGACCAGTTTTAGGGGGCTTTTTCTCACTTTACGACGTCAAGGAACAACTTTTTCAATATTGTTAGAATTTCTACATATTCTACACTAAAATACGCGTTGTTTGCTTTTTGAAACATTAAAATCGTCCAATCCGTTCGGGAGTTATGATATTTTAAAGATTCGCATGAAATTTCAGGGAAGCATTTCCTGCCTCGCATTAGATTTTCGTCAAAGAATTTTTTTCTCGAAAATGGATAGGATTTCGGAGCTATGTATATTCACCAAAAATGGTTGTATTTGACCCCAGAATCTAGAAATAATTTTTTCAGAACGATTTGAAATATTTCTTTTTCGTCGAAAAATTTAGGCACCCTACCCCTTGTCGATTTTCCTTAAAAATTTGTTTGACTCTCTACAGAAAAGTTGTCTAATACTTTCTTGTAGGTGCCCAAGGGTTCTGCTTTAGAAAAAAATTTCATTGAAATATATTCAATATTCTAGGAGTTATGGCCGTTTGAAAATTGGACCAGTTTTAGGGGGCTTTCTCTCACTTTACGACGTCAAGGAACAACTTTTTCAATATTGTTAGAATTTCTACATATTCTACACTAAAATACGCGTTGTTTGCCTTTTGAAACATTAAAATCGTCCAATCCGTTCGGGAGTTATGATATTTTAAAGATTGGCATGAAATTTCAAGGAAGCATTTCTGGCCTCGAGTTAGATTTTCGTCAAAGAATTTTTTTCTCTAAAGTGCGTAGGATTTCGAGGTATGTCTAGTCACCAAAAATGCTAGTAATTGACCCCTGTAACTAAATATAATTTTTTTAGTACGATTTGAAATTTTTTAATTTCGTCTAAAAATTTCAGTACCTATTCGAATTTTTTTCTCGAAAGTGGGTAGGATTTCAGGGGTATGTCTATTCACAAAAAATGATTGCAATTCATCCCCGCAACCAAAACTAATTTTTTCAGAATGATTTGAAATTTTTTAATAACTTATTAATGAAGCCTCAGTCAAGGAATTGATGTTCTTGATTTTCGTCCTATTTTGGCCTCTAGAATCTCCCACTAAAATTGTTCCCATTGTCATGGTAACTCATAGCATGTGGATACGAACAATAGATACTACTTAGCTGTATCAAAAGTTACTCATGACTCGACCAAACACTTAAAATTGTAAGAGTTGAATGAAAATTGACTTTCACTGAATTTTGAACGTAATCGCTAATTAGAAGATAGACTTTGAAATATCAAGTGTCCCATATTGAGCAATTAAAAATTTTCATTAGAACATCGCCAAAAAAAAAAAATTAATTTCTATGAAATCTTGCACATGGCGGTGCACGTCCATGGCGTCCTGAGCAAAACATGTGACTTCGAAGTGGCAGTCAAAGTGTCAATGTACGGTCCAAATACTTGGAAAATTCGCACTCTTCGCGAGATTCGACATTTTCACTTGGATCATAAATGGATCAACGGTAAAACTAAAAAAACTGATCGGAGACAGTGTCGCCTCCCGTCAGTACTCTGATCGGGTTCGAGAACGACGGGAATACCTTGAGCGGGAGCGGGATCGGCGGCGAGATCGAGATCGTGACCTTGACCTTGACCTCGAACTCGACGATCTTGAGCGACGACCGCGTCTTTTGTCCTCGATGAGTCTGATTCTACGCCCGTTCAGCTCCGTGTCGTCCAATTTGTCGATGGCGTTCTTCAAGTCTGAATACGTTGCGAATTCTACAACTCTGCAACATTAAACGAATTCACCATTAAACAGTCTGAGCGACCAATTTACTACAAGTTCACAAGGTAACACTTTAACACGTTCACTGCCAGGTAAAAACCGTATAACATTCTGTACAAGTACAATTTTGATTTTAGACCATTGTAAGCTGCATAACCTAAAATTTGTTTCGGTACTCATTTTGTAACGTTGTTAAAATTCATAAATTCTATCCAAATTCATTTTTGTCTGCGTCTTAACTTAACACTTTACCGACCTTTAATCGGCTATCGGTCGGTAAGCGTTGGTCGGTAAAAAAGTTGATTAATACGCTATCGGTCGGTAAGTGTTGGCCGGTAAAAAAGTCGATTAATAGGCTATCGGTCGGTAATGTGTTAAGAATTCATTTTTCTAGTATCTTAATGGTAAATTCTGTCACCCATATATGGATGACGTGGCAGTCAAAGTGTTAACAAAGTGAAAACCATTGTCCATCACCACTGATATTGTACAAAGCGAGATACACTAAGATGCTAGGAATATTATTACAAGTAATTATAAATATAACCTCAACGAACGTAAGAAGTTGAATGTACAATAAAATGGCGACTGACGTCTGCTCTCAAAGTCACATATTTGTGTCTCATGTAACACTTTACTAACACGATATTAGAAAAATTAATTCTCAAGTTAAGACGTTAAGGTAAATAAATTTGAATACATTTTGTAGCTTACAATGGTCTAAAATCAAAATTCTACTTGTACGGAATATTACACGGTTTTCATCTGTAGTATTTCAAACAATTGCAAACTCACCCTTCGTTCCTGCGTTGTTTGTGTGCATCTGCGTACGTCACTTCTCCAGCCTGTCTCATATAATCCTTCAAATCCTGAGCATCACACAAGAACAAGAATTAATACATTGCAATGACGCTCTATGTCTATCTTACAATTAATCATGAGATACGATTATATTCACGTTATGAATAATGCTAAATATATTGTGTTCCTACACTAATAGTAACGCAGAGGTTAAGAATTGTTTCCTGTGCACTTTTTATCTCCACTATGTCCTATGCAATCCTTTTTCCTTTGCGAAAGTATAATACTCGAGAAATCTATCCTTACTGAAAAAAAAGTAACAGTTCTGTCTCTGACCACATCTTCAGTGCTGAATATTATGTTGAGAATGTGTGCTCGAATTTAGTATCTGCGATTGATGCAACCTTTCTTTTTATGCAATTCAATCTTTAAAACAAGTATAGTCGTTCAACAAAACAAACCTCCACCCTGCAGAAAACCGTCGAACAATTCTCAAAACAAAATACGTTATTTCTATATGAAATAAATCGGTATGCCAGACTAATGTTTCTGCAGAGCAGCTCACAATACAATATCACTGAGATCGCTGAATGCTCGACGATCAGGTATGAAGTAATGCTTGAATACGAAAAGAAAAAGATATATTTGTTGAGTAACTCTGAAAGTGTCTTTAAAATATAAATTAAATCGCAAACACATTATCGATCAGAAACTATATCGATCGTTGAAAAGATGGAACTGCATAAGGCAGAGGGGGAAAGACAGTTGCTCGTGAAATCAACGTACGTAACGGATAATGTTGGTGATTGGTTACGCGGAGTGCTGAAAAAAATTCCGCCTATAACGCTTACTATTGCAAGAACTTGTATTTCAAAGCTGGCACAAAAGTAAACGTAACACGTGTACATTGAATGTAACACTGAGAGAAAAAAAAAAAATATGAAAGTAAAGAGAGAAAGAATTCTGAAGAGACGTGTGAACTGATGTGGAAAAAGAAAAATCATAGCTTTCACTGGGGCTTCCTCTATGCGACCGAAGAAGAGATCCATTTATGGGGGGGAGGGGGGGAAATCGTGGGCCACGCAAAACATTTCCCTCGCTACTGTTACACAGTGGGGTCCGTCTGTTCTGGGAATATTTCCGTTCCTCTTGATACGTGTCCTTTAATATTGTTTCCTCCGCGTTACGCTGTGGTCGTTCTTCGCTCGGTGAAAATCTTTGGTATCCATCTTGTCTCTGTCTGTTTCTTTGGCATCCATTTCATATGTTCATCGTCGATACTTGTGTGTTCTTGTAATTTGTGGGAACCAGGTACGGCTTTATCTTGTTGTGGGCTCTCTTGTTAGGTGCGTGCTTGTAATACCAGTAGAATATTCACTCTGTTCAGTCTTGACGGAGGTCTCTTCGTATCGTCCGTGACACCGGGTTTTTTTTTTCAAAAATGCGTGCTCGGGGATCCCAAAATTCGCGTGAAAGTGATCAGAATTCATCTCAGAATCAATGTGCGAACACACCACGCACCCTTAATTCTTCGAACGGATCAATTCTGCAAAACGCTTTGGTTAATTATCCCCCATACACATCCAAAACAATAGAAACTGAACATGACACGATGGAATTGCCTTGCATAAAGAAAAGTTGGTTCTCCGTTGCCATCAACGTAAAAGGTAATTCTGTTCACGAAATTACTACGGGCGTGGCTACCACTACTAAAGCGCGTTTTGCAAATTGCAAAAAGTGATGGAGTCTGAACGATGGCGAACAACATCATTTGAACAGTATCACAATTTTTCAAACGAATTGGATGCCTAATTTCGAGCACAGTCACATTATATAAAGAAACGTATCAGGGTTGGGCAAAGTTTCATTAAACTCAATTAATTACTCGCGACGACCAACAATTCAATTAATCGTTAAACGCTTACGACGATTGAATTAATTAATCACATTATACTTGTTTGAACGATCTTTGATATAATTTTAGTATAAATTAATCGTGTTGCTAATAATTAATTCAATCGCTTGTTCACTTCTTTTTCTCGGAAAAATTAATTCTCTCAAAATGGTGGATAGCTTTTTTTACAAACTGTTCGTCGGATTTAACCCCTTGCACTATTTTCACGAGTCTAACTCCAAACTTGAATATCACGAGTCTAATTTATGAATAAAATTATTATCATTAAATTAATAAAAATAAAACGAAGATTTTTCCAAAAATCGACAGAAATACTATACACGATACGTATAAAAAATTTACATCAGATATTCAGACCCTTTAACACGTTCACTGCCGGTTCAAACCCGTATAATATTCTGCACAAGTAAAATTTTGATTTCAGACTATTTTAAGCTATAAAACCTAACATTTGTTTCGGTACTTATTTTCGTAACCTTGTTAAAATTCACAAACTCTATTCAAATTTATTTCCCTGGACGTCTTAACTTGAGAATTAATTTTTCTAGTATCATAATGGTAAATCCTTTCACCCATATATGGGTGACGTCAAAGTGTTAAAGTAGTCTCTATCACTTAACTCGAGTTAGGCCCAGTGCGGACGACAGACTATTTACAGCACTTTATTTTCGTCGTTTTTAATTGAAAAAAACGAAAGAAAACAAGTTATATAATCGTTAGTCTGCACGGACCCTTAACACTAGATTTACAATACGATTTTTCTTTTAATTAGAATATGTATTCGTGCCATTGCATAAATCAAATTCAACATAAATTATTAAAAAGATTTTTTTTTTAATTAGAATATGTACTCATACCATTGCATCGACCAAATTCAACATAAATTAATAAAAAATAATATTTACGTATTTTGCAATTTTAAATATGGAATCAGACTTCTGTAAATCTAGCGTTGAGCGATCAACGATTAATTAAATCGCCAATAAGCGCATAATCTAGCGTGAACTGCGGATTGCCCAACTCCAACACACAAATGTTACAAGTTGTTAAAAAACTGGTCCCCTGCCTCTGGTACTGGTTCTATTTCCGTGTGCACGGTTCTTCAAGTTCGTCGAATGATTTCAATAGAGATAGAGATAGAGAGAGAGAGAGATAGATAGATAGAGAGAAATAGAGAGAGAGAAATAGATAGATCTATATATGTATATATATGTAAAAACCACCTGAACTACGGTGCACAGTTATTTGACAGATATATATGACAATATATAAACAGTAAATGAGAACAAGTTATACAAAGTGTGTAAGTGTATAGAGATATATAATAGATATAATGTATATATCTAAAGAGTACACTCGGTTAAGGTGACGCATTTACCTTGGGCCCAGGCACCACCTTGCTTACGGACAGAGAGAAAGGCCAGACACAATCGGCGCTTGGTCGGGTCGAACGGATCTGTGTGGCGTAGTCGCGGATGGTTCGGGTTTCGGCCCCGTGTATGCCCTCTCATGGGTGGCCGCTGCCTGACTTACTAGATGGCTAGGTTGGTGGCGTACCAGTAGCAGTAACAGTCGTGGTGTAGTAATAAATGTGATAGCAGAGAGTTACATGGTGAGACAGTGGTCACTGATTAATGGAGGGTAAAAAAGGAGTCAAGAGAGTTTGATGAGAGATTGTTTTCAAGAGAGCGTATTGTGACTTTGAGGATAACATGATTCTTTTTTTTTTTTTTTTTGGACAGAGGATAATGTAATTGAGAGTCGAGAGAATCGAGACGAGGGATGTAGCAGAGAGTCGGTGAGCAGTGATGGAACACAGAGTGACCGGTTTTGTAGAGCATCCAGGCAAAGAAACAGGTCATAGTCGTTTGATGATTCGTAGAGGCGGACGTTTTCTCTCTCCACGGCGATCATTGATGAGAGGATCGCAGATACGTAAGAACCTATTCGTCACTGGGATTGTCACTGGGATTTCACCACGTATCACTGCGCAAGTAGTAGTAGGCGGTAGGTGGTAGGTGTACCCCAGTGCCACGCGGCTATCTCTCTCACCCGGGACACCTCAGAAACCAACCTGGTGCCACTTGACCTCAAGGCGGGCCCATCGCGTGCATCGTCATCTTTATCATCGCACATCATCAGTCTATTGGCCCTACCGGTCGCCCCTCCTCGGCGAAGAGGACACGGCTCTTCGGAAAGAACATCAATTTTATTGTTTTTCTCAACTGTTGGCCGAACGTAAATGAAATAATAAAATTGAAAAAGGAACACGTCGGAGTAATTCGAGATATAATCGACTGAGTGAGAATATTTCGTTTTACATCAAAAGACAACCAATCGTTCGAAAAGTACACCGATAGACGATACGTATATGTAGAATATTATTATTTTTAATGTATATTGATCAAGTAAGACTTGGTCCACGTATTTGCGCACAGAGCGTATCTATTTCTGGCTCCGGCCACTTTTTATGATTCGTTGGCATGGATTTTTAACGCGTATGCAACGTGACGCATAGCGTGTGTGTATATAATGCATGCACATATGTATATATGCGTATCTTTTGAGCATGGAGTTTCGAAAGATGGAGTGCGTCCTGGTTATTTCCCACATCTATTCCCATGTTTTCCCAAGATTGCCCTTCGTCAATCTGTCTTCTCTTCTCTTCTTCTCCTTTCGTTCGTTGTCTGATGCCTCTTCGTCCAAAAAGCAGCACGCTTCCGATTTCCATCCGAATTCTGGAGCATTTTTGTGTTCCAAGGGTGAAAACGTTGCACTATTCAAAAAAACGGTTTCCACGCGTATCGCCTTGGGTTCTGTAACTCATTCGTATCTCGGAGATCACATATGTACTTTTTTTTTGTTTCGTTCCCCCGGGTTCCGTTCATTTGTTCTTGCACCTTTGTTCGTCTCTCTTTTACTCTTTCCGGCCTTTGTCATTTCCAATTAATTTTAATCTCTACCTTCTCGCCTCGTGCTCGAGCGGACGTGTAATTCAGGACAAAAGATTTGATTTCGAATGCCATAGACTTACTTGATCAAAATGTACATCTTTTTTTTTTTTTTCATTACTCGGAATAGAAGAGAGAGAGAGTTTGGATGAGTAAACGAACTTAAAATGACGAAAAGAAAAATCGAATAAAAAATATTACGTAATACTAAAATGCCGCGTGTAAGTTTGGTTCGACTCGGGGGATACAAAATGCAGAACATTTGCCACAGCTTTGTACATTATCATTGTTATTATTTTAATTTTCTGGTACCTCGAGTAGCAATCAAACTCACGTAGAAAAAGCTATTCGTCGTACGTATAAAACACGAAAGCAAAAGGGTACAGATATTGCTTACCTGCCAGCTGACGCGACTCGACAGATTTTCCACGGTGAGGCGGTACTCGGTGCGTGTCGGTGGTCCGTATCTACAAAATGAAAAACAGAATTATCACATCGGTCAGTTTGCCAATTGCAGGTTTGTCTTGGACCTGACTTTACGTTAAATATTAATATAGCGAAACTCTAAAATGGAAACGCAAAAATATATATTTTGAATCTTTTTAAAAAATTTTTAATATTGCAATAAGTAAGTTGAAATAAATTTTAAAAAAATAAAAATAAAAAAGAGATGTATCGTTAGAGCGTAACATTGGATGTATGTACCTGGGCAATGATTGCTTGTAGCTAGATGCGGTCCTCGTGTTTCTGTTCACACTATCTCTGCAAAAAGGGATGTCATGTGAACAGAAATAACGGATCGTTGGTTAAACCTTCAGCAAATAACTACAGATCTGCACTCATTGCTCAGGCACACAATCAATCACCTGTTCCAATCGAATCAAATCTACTCAAAATGCAGCAATAGCGTACCTGTCGTGCCGCATATCGTCTCGGCTGTAACAAACACAATACCACACATCTATTAGTCGCCAATTACATTCGTTCCACCTCTCTCGTCTACCAGTAATATCAACATAATGTCTGGGAGGGTTGTGTCACTAGGCATTATGCTTATAAACGGTCAAAGATTTCTCAACTAGCGATTCTGGATTCCATTAGTTCGACGTACTCGGGTAGGAGCAGTCAAATCCAAGACAACCAATTCGAACTAATCAGAAACCGGCGTTGAAACGCCACAGACAAACTTTTTCGCGTTTACCACGAAAAAGTCAAAAAGCTTTCTTTTTTTATCACGCGCTCTCTATTCTAGAGCTCATCATATCCAAGGTTACGTTCTTCCCTGCACCAGACGACATGCAAAATCATTTTTTCTTCCTTATATTCTCATACAGAAATCAACTTATACAAGCACACGTATAACAATGATATTCAGCAAATTATATCAATATATACACATATATGTTTCTTTCAAACCATCGATAAAGCTTCGATTCACTGCAGAAATGGGCAAAATTCAACACGATAACGATCTTTTTCTATAGGTAGAAAAATTCTAATCTAAATTGCACGAACGAATGAAAAACGGTTATGGAGGTGATGTTCGTTCGAATAGAATTCTGCCCATCTCTGTCTCATTGGAAATTCTGGAAGGATTTTGCATGTCTCGAGTGGACTGCCATCAGGGGAGTAGGGGATAATGATCGCTCTGATAAAATAAAAAAAAGGATAGCGTGTCTTACGCAGATCGCCTCGAGTCCCCATAACCACCACGGGAGTCACCATAGCGCCACTGGTCACTACCCCTAGGTGTCCCCCGGGCCCTCTCTACAGTAATTCTGTAACAAGACACATTGGATATGCTTACTTGTCTCTCCAGGAGCGTGAGCGTCCGTAGCCACGGTCGCCTCGCCTCCCTGAAACACCCCGTGCTATCTCCACCGCCACTCTGAAACACACCCAACAAAACCCCGCCTAAGTCCTCGACTAATTCTTACTCTAAAGGTGCTTCCTTCCTTCCTTCCATCCTTTTTTTCTTTCCATAATCCTCAGCCTCCTCCTCTCCGAAATCCGTTCAAATATCATCAGCCGCCTCGCCTTTATCTATCATCAGTCCAAGCCACCGAGGGCGCTGTCCCCTCTATCTCTCGCGCTCTCTCTCTCTCTCACGCTTGTCTTCATAATCCCCTCTATTTCCTCTCTCTCTCTCTCGCTCTCTCTCTAAATTTTCTAGTCGTTGTCCACTTAACGCGCAACTTATTCACCAATCTAAGTGTAACACAGTTTAACGTTCGATGTGTGGGGGCATTCTCATAATCGACTGGGATCCGCATACTCGACTCGCTTACATCTTTCCGCGTTGTTGTACATCACCAACGCTTAAGGACCAGACAAATTGTTCGCGCTGATCGCCCAGAAAATTATGAAAACGCGCGATCTACACACCGTTCTTGATTTGTTTATTATTTTTTTTTTTTCCTTTCGTTTTTTCTGGTTTAATAACTTTTTTTTTTTTAAAGAAGCAATATACATTACTTAATAATGCTGAGTCATTCGTTTATACTAAGTATCAATATAGTCAGTTTATGATCGGGGAATTGATGGAAGTAGTTCAAAATGGCGGCAAGTCACATCGGCTATTTAAGTAGGATGCACTTTTATTCCAGAACAAATCCAATCGATAATTTGGAGGACAGACGCCGTTCATCGAAAGCGTTGACTTAAAGGCAATAGAAACCAAAAGTGTTTGTACATGTTCGGCATTTAAAATTATACAGAAGCAACAGCAGATTAATATTACCGTTAGAAGGACTCCGAGGAGTATTTTTTATTCCTTTCCAACGCGGATCATTAACGGAAATGAAAATTTTTAAAGAGCAAATTATTTTACTGTCAAGACGAGTCAACGAGTGGACTTTTTTTTTATTCAGAGAAATAATACTGATCGTTAAATTATACAGAAAAGCAAAGGTGTAAAAATTTTCTGTTTTTATCTTTTTTTTTTTTTTTTTTCTTCGATCGATAGAATTCTACGATGCCTTTAATTCCAAATGCAAATATCTCGGGAACGTCTAGAACGAAAGCACTTCACTCAATAATACATAAAAGGGCGATTAAACAAAAAAATTAACATATCGTCAATGCTATTGCTTCTCATGAACAATCCTACTTCTGTTCCGTGCAACATTAACAAAATTTAGCAACCTTTGTAACGTGAAAATTGTACGAGTTTAATCAGCATTCTGTAAACTTTATGGTGAAATAATCAATATCGACTATGATGCTAATGTTGCATTTTCAAAACACAGCTATGGTAATATATATCGTACGCATGAAAATTAAATCTTGCGATCGCCAATAATTACATTGTTTCGATTATCCTAAAAGAAATGTGCAATTAAGGGCTACAATGTTTGAATGGTACATGTTTCATATATATGTCTGGGTACCAATAATGTTATAAAAGAATTTAAAAGTGGATCGAATGATCCACGAAATCAGATGAATTGTGAAAAGTAACTAATCATGCAAAACATGCTACCTACACCATTCTCCTAACATACGCTTTTCGTTTGTTGTGCGTGAAACGTATGTATCAATAAAATAGTACGCATTACCTTTCTCCTAACAGCTCCTTTCCATTGAGCTCGTAGACAGCGTCGTCTGCGTCCCTATAGTCGTCGAATTCCTGCGAACAGAACAGTCTGGTTACAAATCGAAACGTAACAAAAGATTGTGGCGTCACTTCCCATGTTCGCCACCAGAGGCGTCGCGCTCTCCGAGCGCTCGAGCGACCCTCCGGTGGCGAGCATGAGAGGCGATGCTACAAAATATTTCCAATTCCAGCTTTTGCATGCTCGTATCGCTCATATTATTCGATAATTCTTACTAATACGGTGCACTTGTGCAATCAGTAACGTAAGTATCTGACGTCAATTCTTGTATAATGCATACATTATTAATAGAGCAATGAGATGGTCTATTAATTTGAAAAAAAAAAAAGTTCAATTCAATCAGTGATGTAAATAATTTTGATCGAGCATTACCAGAACGGGTTCTAATAGAATTTAACAGACGTGGTATCACGAGTCTTCCGTCACAAGAGTTAACATTCAAGACATGTTCATGTACGATACTGTTTCTGGAACTTTGTAAACGGTGTTTTAACCTAGGATAGGCGATCAGGTGGTTCGGTTACGAGTAACAAGATTTCCCTTTGGTTATACATAACTTACAAACATTTTGTAGATTAATCGGTGAGAACCAGCACACATCTCCGTTAAGCAGCCACAGTACCAATGTGTTCAGGGCTCAAGGTAGGTCAGATCAACTCACGAGTTCGAGTTGTGTTCAAAGTGAAAACACTTTACACTGTACACGCTTTGGTCCACGATCGAACGTCAAAACAAAACTGATATTTCTAAGAAAGTCTTTATCGATCTCTTTTTTTTTTGTTTAATCGTTATTTGAATGAAGTTAAGATCAAGAATGTTACAGCGTTATTGAGAGACATTTGTAAAATAAGATTAGGACCAAATTGAGTGTGGCAAAGTGTTGGGTACGTATTTAGAATTTGATACAGGTACTTACAACAAAGCCGTAACCATTCTTGATGAGGACATCACGGAATCGACCGTAGCCTCTGAAAAATCTCTCAAGGTCTCTTTCCCTGGTGCCGTATGGAAGCCCACCGACATAGACCCTTGTCCCTACCATACTGTAAAAAAAACAATTGAACCACATTAGACTTACCACAAAGGCAAATCCATTCTTCATAGCGACCTCCTTGATTCTACCATATTTCCGGAAGAACTTCTCAAGGTCGCGCTCTCTCACCCGGTATGTTAATCCACCAACGAATACTCGGGTGCTCATTCTTAAAGGAAAATATAAAAACACCATACATAACAGGCTTCCTTAAGAACCTGCCATTTTAGTCACATGACAACATAAGAATCGTTACGTTAATTTTTTTTTGAATATATTCTGGCTGAGAATTGCAATGCAACTCATTTATAAGATCAACGCTAGCGCTATTTGTAAGTTCACGTTTTTTTTAGGGAACTTCGATCGAGAAGAAATAAAAAAAAAAAAAAACAAACTCAAGGTATCAAAAATTCGGAACTTTTGCATAGACAGAAGGGCTCTGCAAGATGCATAGATCGTACTACGAACACTAAATTCATCGGAAAAAAGTCACAAGTGCAATACAGAAGTGCCATTTGTAATTAAAAAAAAAAATCGAAAAAAAAGAAAGAAAATGAATTTAAGAGGCACGTGTTAATGCTTCGTCATACATTCTTTACTGATCACACGCAACACATTTAAACAGCTATATCGATATTAGCAAAACTTACGGGGCACCTTAAATAATGTTAACAACAATAGAGGATCGATATACAGGGTGTTCGGACAACCATGGGAAAAATTTTAACTAGGGATTCTAGAGGCCAAAATAAGACGAAAATGAAGAATACCAATTTGTTGATGGAGGCTTCGTTAAAAAGTTATTAACGTTTAAAGTTCCACTCGTACTGAATTTTTTTCTCGAAAATGCGCAGGATTTCGGGGGTATGTGTAATGACCAAAAATAATTGTAATTTACCCCCGCAACAGAGAATAATTTTTTTAGAACGATTTGAAATTTTTTTTCTCTGTCGAAAAATTTTACATCTTCTCGAATTTTTTTCTAGAAAGTGGGTAGGATTTCGGGGGTATGTCTATTCACCAAAAATGATTGTAATTAACCCCCGCAACCGAAAATAATTTTTCCAGAACGATTTGAAATTTTTTTTTTTTGGCGAAAAATTTAGGTGTCGAATTAGATTTTCGGTTAGGAATTTTTTTCTCGAAAGTGCGTGGGATTTTGGGGGTATGTGTAATGACCGAAAATTATTGTAATTTACCCCCGCAACAGAAAATAATTTTTTTAGAACGATTTGAAAATTTTTTTTTCCGTCGGATTTTCTCGAATTTTTTTCTCAAAAGTGGATAGGATTTCAGGGGTATGTGTATTCACCAAATATGATTGTAATTGAACCCCGCAACCAAAAATAATTTTTCCAGAACGATTTGAAATTTTTGAATTTAATTGTTAATAACTTTTTAACGAAGCCTCAAATGAAAAATTGATATTCTTGATTTTCGTCTTATTTTGGCCTCTAGAATGTCCCATTAAAATTTTCCCCAGGAGTAGCTGAACACCCTGTATACACGAACGAACATAAATTTAACTTTACTGCTACATTTACGATAAGAAATAGAAAACACATGCCGTTTAATAGAAAAGAAAAAAATAAACAAATATGCAACATGAAACTGCTTATGAGGAAACATTGCAAATTGTTGAACGCTGATTTTTATGAAATTTTGCTTAAATGTCCATTGGTAAAACTTAAGAACCCTATATTTCGTTAAAGTTACTTTTGAGCCACCCCTTATGTCACAGTTACCAACTCTTTATAACTAATATTATAGAAGATATTTATTAATGAAATAAAAATTATACTGTAATACTGGAAAAAAAGATTCTTAATTGGAATCACTTTGGTTAAAACAGGCACTAAAATGAAATTAAAAAAAAAAATAATAATAATAAATTTAATAGTTATTAAAAATTTTAAGAATATCAAAAATCAGCGTCCCGCAGTTTAACATTCCCTCGTCAATGTTAATTGCATATGCGAGAGAACAATGAAATTAAAACATTACAGTTTCATAGACTAAACTACTTTCGATAATATTATGCTACTTTTATAATAATCTACCTTCTATAAATATTCGTAAATGAAAAGCTGCAACAGCTTGTCGAACGAACGTTTCTTTAAGTTCTGTAATTTTCAAAAGTCTTGAAAAAAGTATAAAAAAAAATTCAAGTGTCCAGTAATTTGGTGCAACATTTTTGTTTTTTTTTAGAATCATGTTAAGCACGTCTCATGCACTTGTGGGTAACGACAAACACTTTGTTATCGATATTATCATTAAAAGAAAAAAAAAAGTTTGAACACTTAGCGCATGGACGATGTATGAATCATTATAGTATATGCTCTAAGGTGTTTATGTCTCCATGCTTACTCAGCCAAAAACGTGTTTACACAAGAATGAGATGAGCGTGAACATTAGTAGTGTTCGGTACTTGTACATTAACGTTACTACTTTAAACAAAGAAAAAAAACACAAAAGTCACAAGCGGTGGAAGCGATACAACGAATACGATTGGAGTGAAATATCTCTGTTATTGGGAAAGCAGCAAAATGGACAAAAGTTTTCATTCGAACGTTTTATTCGCTTGTCGGTTAACACGACGAGAGAAAGAGGAGCCCCCCATTGTTCGCGCGTCGTTCAGTTTTTCCCAGGCAGTTTCCCTCCGCTCGCGCGGCGCCCTGTTTACGCGAACAACATATCGTTCGCGATTTTTATCTCTTCCACCGACTGCACCTCTCAATTCTGGATAAACGAGATCCAACGTACCGAACTCGCCTAATGTCACGGGCGAAAAATTAACAGAAGCAAACATGTAAATTAATTTACAAGTAAATGAAACGTCGAGTTTCGATAATTCGTTACAGTTCGTTTGCCGTAGTGCGTTAACCTTCGAAGGGATCTGCGAATAATTACAAATGTAAAACTCGAGGAATGAAATTAGAGCAGCTTCCATTCATCACGTTGCTCTTGAAACCCAAATAAAATCCACGCAGTTTTGTTTTCTTTCGCGCAACTCCCTTTTGAAGGTTAAACACCATCGATACCTTGTTTTTCAATGAATTTTTCGCTCGCTGTTCGCGAGCACCCGCCGCCCACGTTTTACGGGCGAAAGAAACTCGATCCGGAAAACTACAATATGTTTCGAACTCGAGCGACGAACTGTACTTTTATCGGATACCCGTTTTCATAAAATGGCGGTCCGTGCGATCGTTTATCGCCGCCTTTTTTTCACTACGCAAGTATTTCAGAGACACGTAAATAAAAAAAAAAAAATGGTAAAGAAACGTTAAAAAAAAAAAACCACGTTTCGGTAACACGACCGTATTTATCGAATATTATTGCCGCTACTCGTAGAAATGCTTTCGAACGTAATTGATACGCAAATATCGGAAAACATTAACATCGAAGGTAAACGTTGCGAGGAAATCTATTTATCGCGATAATAACCGAAGCAAACGATCGAATAGCTTCGTACACGCACACAATCGCGATTGATCACGAAAATGAACCTTTATGAGCGACCAGCGATACGACGCAGAATATTTAAACTTTAATGCCACGTTATTAATACGTACGTAGGTTAAACGAAATTCTCGCAACGAATAATTACCGAAATGTTGAGAACGCGAATGGGAATAATTCACGATCAACGAGTTATCGTTAATGCATCGTGACACGACGTGTCCCCGGGAGATCCACTCGTCGCGAATCGTGGCTGATTGCATCCGTAAAACGAAAGTATTTCCAAACAATTCACTTTTCCACGATCGTACGTAATACTAGAGAATGAAAAAACGATGTTTACAAACTTACCTGAATGCACGTGAAACAACGCTGCTTTGATCGCCAAAACCTTATGCTCTTTCGCGATACGATACCACTGAAATTACTAGAAGAAGTAATGATCGGCGTCTGAAGTAAGATGGCTCGCTGCAATAACGGAAACAAAACGGGGTTTACACGGCGGTGAACAAAGTCGCTGGCTGCCAGCGCCTCGACGACAGACGCCCAACGTCGAAAGTCGACGACAATATGCAACGGATTAAAACAACAGCGATCGAGGAAATAAAATTATCGCGTCCAACTTACACCATATTTATATTGCTAATATATTCCATGAAAATACATTCTTTATTTTGCTTCTTTACGAACCTTTGCTCCCACCCTTTCAAAGGTTGCGTTACGATTAAGTTAAGATTAACTACGTTTCAGACAACGTACCCCATAAATATTTATGACTCTGCTTATTTTACGAAAAACGTAATCTTATCGTAATTGTTCATTATTCTGATTATACTGGTGGGTAATCGTAAACGCGTGCATTCTATTATTTGGGTTCGAGATAAGTGCACGCTACGGTATTGAGCGGCAAGTTTGAAGCATAGTTATGTTCTAACTATCGACACGCTCCGTTACCGTTATTCCAAGTTTAATCAGCACATCTGAAAAATCCATCTTCATTTTAGCGCGATCCAGGCATTATGTAAGACATTGTGTAAAATTGAAAATGATTTTACGAATTCGTTATCGTGTAAATAAAGTGTGTGGGTTTATTTATCTCTAAAATTTACTCTGGAATTAGTAATCACAAAGCGGCGTATCTTGACACGAAAATCGTAACGCAACGTTTAGTTAAGATCGAGCCTGTTCGAGATCTTACGTTCATGAATCATCGTATTATATTGCATGAAATCGAAACAAACAATAAAATTACTTCATCGGCAATAAACGTTGGTAAAGCCGTAGATCGCCTATACATCGGCTACGCTGGCGCCACCTATTGAAAACAAAAATGGTGGCCAACAATATGCCCTATCCCTGCCCTGGTTTTATGGCACGCCAAATGTCTGCGTTCTCTAGGCTTCTTTCTACTATGTATTTCCCTCCGACCGATATACCCATTTTCGATGTGAACAAAGGGAATCATTTTCTCGCGGTCGACCCTATTTTACGTGCTAAATAAGTGGGGCTACTTCTAACCAAACCGAAGGTGATCGAAAACTATCGAATATTTTGCGAAATTATAACCGCACAAGCTCGATCCGTCGTGTCATTCACCTTATATAATGTAATTGGTTACACACGATTCCATACGGCGGTTACACGCCTTTAACATGTATTGCCCGTTACAGGAAACACGACAAAACAATCTAGCATTGTGACAATGCAATAAGGAGCAGAATCCTATATGCTTCGCAAATACAAACTGCAAGATAGACGTTTTTTAGTTTGCTACACGCTATGTACGAATTACGTAAAAAATTTCCTGTCGTCCGTGTAACCTGTATCATCTGAGTCAGTTAACATATTTAATGAAATGTCAAATAATCACAGGTTCCTATTAGGTTCGTACGCACTGCAGATAAAGTATTTTGTTTCCCTGACAACTGGTCAGCCGATTGTTATTTTAAAACGAACTTATTCGTGCAATTTAATTGATAAAGCTTGGGTCGTTTAACAGTTTCTCATTATACGTTAGAAATGTTTTGTACGTTACAATGTAAAGGGATACAGCGACGGTTGTTATTTTAACGTCGACGATGGTTTTAACGTGTTGGTGTCACTTACGGCGTATATTTTTTATTGTAGGTCGTTGAATTTTCTATAACCTGGTAATGACAGATAGAGCACGCACAATGAGGTTGGAAGCAGAAATGGCTGCTCCTTTGCATCTGCAAAGATTGGAGCGCAGCCTCAATGTACAGCCCTTCTTGAGGCAGGTCGACGAACTGTTCCAAGATCCGCCTAGGTAGCTTTTTTTATCTTCAATTGTAGCATTCAGAGGTAATCATAGATTTTATTGTTTTTTTAATTTTTCCAGCGAAGATGATAAATCTGTATCGTCTGAATCTTCTGAGGGATCCGATAATTATTTGGACAATGTGCTGATTCGAAAGGAAGGTGCGTAATTTGTTTTGATTTTTTAAATATATTATTTGCCGCTACGTAAATGCATAATGATTGTTGATGTTACAGAGGAAAGAATTAACAAATTGAGGCTCTATAATATGTCGAGCATGGGAGAGGAACGTCGTTGGTTGCAAGACATTTTATTGAGCGACTCGTCCGATAGCTCAGCGTCGGGATCTGACACGGACAGTCCCGTGACGGAAGAGGATTTTAAGGAAATGTTAAAATTTCACATACTTAGGAAAAAGTACCAAGGTCGTTTCTATCAGAAACCGGAAGTGAGTTGAGAGATTCGCGTGAAATTGGTAACACGCATAATGTCAATCAGTAACGTAAAATTCTTATTTTCAGAATATACAGTACCAGTATTATAGCGCTGGTTTATTGTCGAATTACGATAGATTTTTAGAACACCAGAAATTGATAGTCGGGAATAAAAAGAAGAAGGAAAAGAAACCAGACAAAAAGGTCATGAAGATAAAAAAGGAAAAGATTCCTCGTCATAGACCATCCGAGGATTACCCTGTATGTGAATTGGAAACTGGTTTAGTACTTTTCATTATAGATAATTTTATACACGATTTTTTAGGAAGGGGAATACCCAGATGAAGAATGGGACCGTACAATGCCTAGAGAGGAAGAATTAGATGAAGCCGAATTGGAAGCAATAATGCGTCATCAGCCCCGCCAGCGTGGCAGAAAAAAGCATAATAACAAAAGTCCAGAAGTGATGGCCATGAGAAGAAGAAAGATTTGGGTAATGATGTCCAAGAAAGAATTGGGAAAAGTACAAAGAGCAAAAACCAATAATCATAAGGAAATGTTAATTAGTTGTAAAAAAGTAGCTCAACACTGTATGAAATATTGGCGGCAAAAGGCTATGCAAGTGAGTACTGCCCTATATGTATAACTATCGATATTCACGGATTCAAAGAATTGTGCATTTACGTTGATTTTATAGTCGCAAAAGAACATGAAAGAGACTATATGGCGAGCAAAGCGTCTCACACGGGAAATGCAATCTTACTGGAAACGTTACGATCGCGTGGAACGTGAAACGAGGAGAAGATTAGAAAAAGAAGCCGAAGAACAAAGAAAGATGGACGTAGAACTAATCGAGGTAATTGATGTTCTATATTTAACATTTTTTTTTTTACAGTGTCAGAAATGCATTTCTTCTTTATTATTTAGGCAAAACGACAACAGAGGAAACTGAACTTTCTTATCACACAGACCGAACTATACGCTCACTTTATGTCCCGGAAATTAGGGAAAGCATCTCCCGAAGAACAGCTGCGAATTTTGAATCAATTGGACGAAGAGAAAAATCCGAGGCTCCTTGGAATCGATGATTACGACAGGTAAAGTATTTAACAGTAATCTGCTTGCATCCTGATGAAATATAACGTTGCCCCTTATTTACATAAATATAGCGAAATTATGAAGCAAAAGGCAAAAAGAAATGCCACCGAAGCGTTTGATAACGAAAGGGCCAGGGCAAAACAATTCGACACTGCGGCAGCGTCTCAAGAATTACGCCTCAGCGATACTCCAGAAAATTTGGAGCACCCTCAACCTTCGATATTTAAGGGGAACCTCAAAGGTTATCAGTTAAAAGGGATGAATTGGTTAGCAAATTTATATGATCAGGTTCGTTCTGTTGTAATACAAAATAGATGTATTTACACGGAACAAACGTGTGTTAAAATATTTTTGCTATTTTTTTTTTAGGGAATTAGTGGAATTTTGGCGGATGAAATGGGTCTGGGAAAAACTGTACAATCTATAGCGTTTCTCTGTCACGTTGCTGAAAGATACTGTAAGTTATTCGACGATAGTTCCTTTATGATATAAATAAGAAATTAGTTAAACAAAGATTCACTCGAATAACAACACTAAAGTTTTTATTTATTTTTTGAAGCTGTGTGGGGGCCATTTTTGATCATATCGCCGGCTTCGACGTTGCACAATTGGCAACAGGAAATGGCACGATTCGTACCAATGTTTAAAGTGGTCCCATATTGGGGAAACCCGCAGGAACGAAAAATATTGAGACAGTTCTGGGACACTAAAGACTTGCACACGAAAGAAGCTTCCTTTCACGTAGTGATAACCAGTTACCAATTAGTCATTACCGATTACAAGTACTTCAACAGAATAAAATGGCAGTACATGATCTTGGATGAAGCGCAAGCTATAAAAAGCACCAGCAGGTTGGTGATCGTTTGTTCCTCTCGACTTCGTTGCGAATGAGTGATATTTAAATACCTCCCCTTTGCAGTATGAGGTGGAAACTGTTGCTTGGATTCAGTTGTCGCAATAGATTGCTACTCAGCGGAACACCCATTCAAAACAGCATGGCGGAATTGTGGGCGTTGTTGCATTTCATAATGCCCACTTTGTTCGATTCTCACGACGAGTTCAACGAATGGTTTTCCAAAGACATCGAGAGCCATGCTGAAAATAAAACGGGGATCGATGAGAGTAAGAATTTTTATCATACTGAAGCTCGAGTAATTTTCAATAGTGAGAGTGAAAATATGATATTTAAACTTACATATTATTTTATATTAATCTCGATATTTTGACCTATTATTTCTGGCTGGTAATCATGGATACACGTACATTCGCCAATGTGTTTTGATTGTTTAAGTTGTTGGATGTACAATTAATTCTGTATACTGATTAATAGAGTTTTTTAATACTCCAACTGTAAACAACTTGTGTTGTTTTTAGCGGAAGAAAAGTCCAAAATGCCGAGGCAAATAAAAACTCGAGTTTCTCAAGAACTAAACGTGGAAGGAAAATATTTTATTTTACAGTTTTTTTATTTTTTCTTATATAATAATTTCCTATAATAGATCTTATACATTCTCAACATATTATCAATGATACTTAACATCTCAATAGCTGCAAGTTTCACATGAAAATTGTGTTTTCCATTCAGAGCATTTATCGAGACTGCACATGATCTTGAAACCCTTCATGTTGCGGAGAATAAAGAAGGATGTGGAGAATGAACTGTCCGATAAGATAGAAGTTATGGTGTACTGCCCCCTTACAACACGACAAAAGTTACTTTATTCAGGTAAACTGTCCCAATCGTCAATTTCGTGACGTTTCTCTGATGTTAATACAATAATGCTTTTTTTTTGTTCAGCATTGAAGAAAAAGATCAGAATAGAAGACCTGCTACATTACACAGTTGGTGGTGGGGATACTGCTACCAACGACAAAAATTTCACGTCAAATCTTATGAATCTAGTCATGCAATTCCGAAAGGTATGATCTGTCTAATAAGTTTTAAATAAACAATGATGCAAATAATATAGAGGATGTCAATTACAGGTTTGCAATCATCCAGAACTGTTTGAGCGAAGAGACGCGAGATCACCACTCTTCATGCACACGGAACTGTACGAAATGCCCGCGTTGTTGTACACAGAGGGACTGTTGCACCTCTCGTTGCCATCCAAAGATCACTTCTTGTATAATAAGTTCTTCATATTTGCTACGGAATACGTGCACCGGGCGCTTCACGATGGCAGCGGAAGATTCTCCCGAAATCCCTTCTCGTTCAGTAGATTCATTAACTTGTCCCCGATGGAAATGAACAAAGCGTTTATCGTTGGTATTTTATTCAGGTATAACAACTGTTATGGTCAAACGTATCACGTGTGATCAGTCAGGACACTATATATTACATTATGCTTGTACAGGTTGTGCCTTGCAACCGTGATGGAAAGGAGGATAAAAATGACACGTTATTGGGAGGATTGGAACGCCGACGAGAGAACGGAAATCCCCAGAAATCAGATACTTCTTCTACCCAGGAAGTTCGACTGCTCATCACGAACGATGCGTGACTTGATATTCACGAAGAAAATTGTCGATGGCGATCCTGTATATACGCACATGACACACGTCGTTCACTCGATGCCGGAGACCGTTGCTCACCGAATTCTACGCAGCAGCAAAAAGACGATTCAGTCGATGAAGGTCGAGAATGTTCACACGTTTATTTTCCTAAAAAAGTTCAAATTAATCATCCACACGTTGTTCCTTGTGTCTGTTTGAGAGGTCCAGTTATTAAAGTACCTTCTGTTTCCATTTGCAGAGAATACTCCCGTGTACCAAAGCGGAACAAGAGGAGTCAAAGGTGACCTTGCTACCGGAACATCTTCACCTTCCGCGACCACCGATATTGAGACACTGTCAACAGACCACCATTCCATTCTTCATCTGCGATACTTATCCCAAGGTTGTTTGAGCAATATGCAGCGATAGGATCGCGTAACAATGGTCGTAGGAATGAACGAAAGATTCGTTTCAGGTGCAAGCTAGTCCTCGAAAACTGTATGTTAGTAGTAGTTCTGCAGCGTGTGCGTGGAGGAGGCACGAGGAATGCGGCGGAAAGTTTGGACAAAGGCTCCTCTGGCTCGGTTGCGAACAAGCTCTTTCTGCTACGTCGTTACAAGAGAACTCTAGCCCTCATTTAACACAGTCTCCTCTAACGTTTACTGTTCAAACCCAGGGTGGACTGTCCGCGTGCACGCCCATTAACGGGTGGTCCAACATCATTGTACCAGGCAAGCAGTTCTTCAAAATCGTGTATTAAAACATAATCGAATAGTTTGTTGGAATTTATAAAGTCTTCCCTTTGAAATTGTTATAGACAAGCAAACTTTGGTGACAGACGCAGGGAAACTTTCTGTATTGGACAGTCTTCTGCGCCGTTTGAAGGAACAGGGTCACCGTGTTCTTATTTATTCCCAAATGACGAAAATGATCGATCTATTGGAGGTACTCTAAGCTAGTTTACACACACGCGACACGATTGTTGCAAGATTCTATATATCTTGCTTTTGTTACAGGAATATATGTACCATAGGAAGCACACTTTCATGAGACTAGACGGCTCGTCAAAAATCTCTGACCGACGAGACATGGTCGCGGATTTCCAGAAAAGGTAAATCTTATGGTGTTGTGTTTTATTTCTTTTTTTTTCGACGAATTTTTGAATCGTTTCGTCGTAATGGGTAAATATTTCACGGGTAACCGTCCACCGGCTGAACATTTAAATATCTGCCCATCTAAACGAGCGTGGTCTACTCCTTTAATGAGAATAGATCGTTAATAAACCGAATGGATACTTCGCCGACACTGTTTAGAATATGTATCGGCTTCGGATCGTGTTGCATGTCTAAAGAGTGGCCTCTTAGCATGTCGTTCCTTGGCTCGCTCGCGCATAACTAACACGCGAATTAATTGGCGAATCGTCCCCGTCTTATAGACAGCTGCGGCTTCGGCTACCCGCCATGAATACATGATTCTAATAACGGGCGGCCGTCATCTTTCAGCCGTGCCATTATGCTCCAACGTACCTTGGCCGCCACTTTCCATTCACCAAACACTAAAACAAATCTAACAGCTTCATTATCTGCTTGATTTTTTTATTCCGTCGATGAACGATAATTTTCTATACATAACAGGCGGGTCTGGGGAACATTTCATTTTAAATAGGACAACAATCAGATTATATAAAACGAAAAATAAAATTACTCTATGCTTAGTTCAATTATTCGTACAAATAAAATGAGAAATCTATATTTTGGATAGGAATATGTATAAAAATCATTTATATTGTCAATGGAAGATCCTAATGTAAAGAATTATCAAAATTTCAAATCGTGCAAAGAAAGGTCGACAAACATTATACAGGGTGTTCAATCAACCGTGGGAAAAATTTTAATAGAGGATTCTAGGGGCCAAAATAAGACGAAAGTGAAGAATACCAATTTGTTGATGGAGGCTTCCTTAAAAAGTTATTAACAATTAAGGTTAACAATTTCAAATCGTTCTGGAAAAATTATTTTCGGTTGCGGGGGTCAATTGCAATCATTTTTGGTGAATAGATATACCCCCGAAATCCTACCCAGTTTCTAGAAAAAAATTCGAGAAGGTATTGAAATTTTTAGACGAAATTAAAAAATTTCGAATTATACTAAAAAAATTATATTTAGTTACAGGGGTCGATTACAATCATTTTTGGTCATTACACATACCCTCGAAATCCTACGCACTTTCGAGAAAAAAATTCCTTTACCGAAAGTCTAAAGTAAGTGCCTAAATTTTTCGACGAAAAACAAAAATTTCGAATCGTTCTGGAAAAATTATTTTCGGTTACGGGGGTCAATTACAATCATTTTTGGTGAATAGATATACCCCCGAAATCTTACGCAGTTTCGAGAAAAAAATTCCAGAATGTGTGAAATTTTTCGACGGAGAAAAAAAATTTCAAATCGTTTTGGAAAAATTATTTCTAGGTTCTGGGGCCAAATACAATCATTTTTGGTGATCAGACATACCCCCGAAATCCTGCGCATTTTCGAGAAAAAAATTCATTACTGACAAAACTTTAATCTTTAATAACTTTTTAACGAAGCCTCCATCAACAAATTGGTATTCTTGATTATCGACCTATTTTGTCCGCCAGAATCCCCCGTTAAAATTTTTCCCATGGTTGTCGGGACACCCTGTATGTATACATTTTGACGCCTCCAAACGAGGCTTCTGGATCTATGGTAGGGTTTGTACCGTCGCCAGTATCCCTAACGCACATAGATGCAATAAGCGAGGCAATAGTGTATCATCGACTGTTAATCGTATCAGCCCCATCACTGTCGATTACAGCCTTCCAAACTCACCTGTCAGGTCCCGGGCAAGAGGTAACCGTATCGTCGAAATCTTGCCCCGCGATATCGTCCATTCGGCCCACGTTTCGCACTGGAAATCCTCTAAGTGCGCTCTGGCCGGCATTCCGAATTAATTTACATACAAAACACCGCGCGTGCCGGGTCCGTTGAATCTCCAGCGACTGTTTCATGTTTCAGGGCGGACATATTCGTATTTCTGCTGAGCACCCGAGCCGGAGGCCTGGGAATAAACCTCACCGCCGCAGACACGGTCAGTAATCGTACCCTCGCTTGTACGTATTCGCTTAGGATTTCGCTGCACGAGCTGTCCGGTCGCACTGGACCCTCAATTCCCGGACGAGTACCCCAAACTGGTGACAATTACCACTGACCAGGAACAATGGATCTAGAAATAGACATATCAAAATTCTGACGATCCTTCAACATCTGCCAATTAATAAAGAAATCGTTTAAAGCGATTAATCCCTTGAATCCAGAAAAGGTTTATTCATGAATTTGTTTTTGTCAGATTTCTCTGGATTCAAAGGGTCACAGTCTAGATAACAGTTTTTGGTTAATTTAAAAGAGATGAAGAAGAATTTAGAGAAGACATGGCGCAAGGAATCAAGGTTCCATCTGTCTTGGGAACGACAGAGACAGGAGTCATTGATTTAATAAGCCATGAACTTGTGCCTGATAAAGTATCATTTTGTACGATACTTTTTGAAGATAAAAAAAGGAACCAGAAACCAGAAACTATAAGTCCTGTATCGCATAACTTGAAAGCAATTCTTTGATCTTAAGAAGAAGAACCAAAAAACTAAGACCTAAAAAATAGTATTTATAGTATATAATACTATATTATTTGAGCATATTGCTATCTAATATTAATCTACTTGGCAAAACAATTACATGACTCATTTACAATGATGCAATGCAACACTGATTATCGAACCAGTCAATCCATCATAACTTGTCAAATGTTTCCTAAAAGATCTGTCTAATTTAAAAATTTACTTTTAACTACACTGGTGCATCTGTGAAAAGAAAACTTAACACTGGTGTAATAGAACATGTTAAATAATGTACGTTTTAACACCAGAGCTACCAACAATTATAGAGAATTTATTTGTACCAAAGAAATTAAAACGATAGATACATAAAAAAATATATGATGCAATGGAAATAAATGTACATTCATTTTCTTCTAGAAAATTACAGTAAACTTTCAAAAATTCAGTTGAATAAGTTTTATTAGAAATTACGAATTTTGACTGGTTAGGTAGTTCTAGTGTTAAGCTGGGTTATAATTCCCAATTGCCAGGAACACCCTGTATAATCAGGCTTCTTGCACCGCAAGCCTGTTGTCGTACGAAAGAAATTGCGCTGGCGAAACGGACAGAATGGGATCAGAAATTAATGACATAATCGATAAGATTTTTTGGCCAGGGTCGTTCGCCCTGCATTGCCGAAACTGCATTCTGTTGTGCACGAATGTGGGCTGCAGGTATGCGTCGCTGAATGCATTTGCATATGCCCTCGTTCGAATATCGAGTGGAGAGAGAACTGTCCCTATTTGCAGCGTCACGCGATAGATATCCGAGCCCCGAATGTTGACTCGCCCCAGCTTGCAAAGCAAACGATTTTATTCTCGTCGGTAACCTAGCTTTCCAAGATCCGTTACGACCGGAAATTGAATTCTCAGCGTTTAATGCTCGGAACTTATGTCGTTCGCAGGTGATCTTCTACGACAGCGATTGGAACCCTACCGTGGATCAGCAGGCTATGGATCGCGCTCATAGGTTAGGACAAACGAAACAGGTGACGGTGTACAGACTAATTTGCAAGGGCACCATCGAGGAAAGAATATTACAACGTGCTCGTGAAAAAAGCGAGGTTATTTTTTTATTTAGGTTCAAGTAACAACGTATGAATCTTGAGCCAATATGTTCAGGAAGGTAAAGGCAATGCTTATTGGTTTTCAGAGCAATGCAGGAACGAGTATTTGTTCGTTTGGTGCATCAGCTTTTAGTGAAGATCTTCCACAGAAACTTGTTAAAAATATAACGATAATAATTTTGTGAGATGAATGTTAGATAGGTTCACAATTGGTCATCAAACTTTTATGGAACAAGTGATAATTGCAGAATTTATTGTTGATGGATTTATTTTGTAAATTATTTCTTATTCTCGTTTTCGTACTGCCCTCACGATCGAGGTTAATAGATATTTAATTTCTCGAATGTATTCACTCAAGGTTCGTGTGAATTGCACACACGAGTTTCCCTTAATGCATTTGAACGTCAATTTCTTTAGATACAACGTATGGTGATCAGCGGTGGAAACTTTAAGCCGGACACTCTGAAGCCCAAAGAAGTTGTTTCCCTCTTGCTGGATGACGAAGAAATTGAAGCAAAATGTGAGCGTAAGAATAAATTTTTATATGAATTGCATGAAATTAATAGTACTTAGAAATCGCGAACGTGGAAATTTTTAATTAACACTTTGACGGCCGCTGTCACGTATACGTGACTTTGCGAGCTAGCAGACGTCGGCCAATGTCACGTGTGCGTGATCTATCAGCCACCATTCAGGCATTATACATTCAACTTATTACGTTTGTTGAGGTTACATTTAGAATTCCTAGCATCTTCATGTATCTCACTTTGGTCTACAATATCAGTAGTGACGAACAACGGTCTTCGCATGATACGTGCGGCCATTAAAGTGTTAATAACCAGTATATTCCCGCGTCAAGCATGACTTATGGTTAAGGTGTGAAACATATTTTTGTAGTAATTTTTGTTCATTTGCTCGTTTGAAATTTATCGTGGGTCGCTCAATACTTATCGTGGTCGAATCACAATGTAAGCAGGGCAGATTCAATATACAGGGTGTGCCGTAAATAGTGTAAGAACCGAAAATGTGGGGTAGCAGAGACGATTCTGAATTACAATTTCCTTTGCAAAAATGTCGGATGGGGCTTCGTTTTTGAATTATTAACGAAATACACTGACCAAAATCAAGAATACCAATTTGTTGATGGAGGCTTTGTTAAAAAGTTATTAACGTTTAAAGTTCCACCAGTACTGAATTTTTTTCACGAAACTACGTAAGATTTCGGGGTTATGTCTATTCACCAAAAATTATTGTAATTGATCCCCGCAACCGAAAATAATTTTTCCAAAACGATTTGAAATTTTTTTTTTCCGTCGAAAAATTTCACACCTTTACGAATTTTTTTCTAGAAAGTGGGTAGGATTTCGGGGGTATGTCTATTCACCAAAAATTATTGTAATTGACCCCCGCAACCGAAAATAATTTTCCCAGAACGATTTGAAATTTTTTCTTTTCGTCGAAAAATTTAGGCACCTAATTAGATTTTCGGTAATTTCGGGAATTTTTTCCTCGAAAGTGCGTAGGATTTCGGGGAGTAATTGTAATGACCAAAAATGATTGTAATTGACCCCCGCAACCGAAAATAATTTTTCCAAAACGATTTGAAATTTTTTAATTTTGTCGAAAAATTTGTCCACCTACTCGAATTTTTTTCTCGAAAGTGCGTAGGATTTCGGGAATAATTGTAATGACCAAAAATGATTGTAACTCTCCCCCACAACCGAAAATAATTTTTCCAGAACGATTTATAATTGTTGAATTTAATTTGTTAATAACTTTTTAACGAAGCCTCCATCAACAAATTGGTATTCTTGATTTTGACTCTAGAAACCCTCATTAAAATCTTTCCCACGGGTGGCCGAACACCCTGTATATCATAAAAAAGTTGGTGGCGCTGTCTAGTGCCAAGAATGCGAACTATATCGCAACAAAGTTGGCCGTGTTACCGCCAAAAGCGTCACTAATAAAGAAATTGCTTCCAAAGAAACCCACAATCTTTGTCTCCCATAATAGTGACGTTATAGTAATAAGAATATATTAAACCATAGCCATCTTCGATGTTAACCACGCTGAAGCTTTGAAATCGTAAATTAATTTTGTGTATCCTTCAATCCCACGAAGAAAGTTCGAAACGTAAACGGCGAGATGCAAAGCAACTTGGTTCTCGCCATTTCCGCTCGGCGTGGCGCTCTAGCGCGATAGAACGATGGGGACACGTGACGAAGGGGTTCGGCGAAGGGTCGATGAAGGGGGAGGGGAGAGCGTGGATGCAATTACATTATGCTCGTTAGGTTATGCTAATGCCCTAATAACGAATAATAATAAGAAGAGAAGCAACGAACGTCCCCGTATGTACAAGGCCCGTGTCCGTATATTTCAGATAGCCAACGGAGCGAGGAGAGAAAGCAGCACGCGGAGGATGCACGGCTCGAGTCGAACCTATATCACAAGGAGAGGGACCGGAAGAGGAAGTTAACCGCGCTTCCGGTCAAGGTGAGCCCGACGCCCTTAGAGCCGCTATCGGTCCCGACTCTCTCGTTCATTCTTATTCTTTGGATTCTCCGTTATTGGTTTATTTTTACTTCTATATTATGTAAAACTTATCTGACCATTCAACTATTTTCACTTTCCTTTCAGGGCGACGCCAAGAGACCTTGCCTGTCCGATGCAAATGGCGACAAAATTGGCGACGCTCAATCCAACTCCAACGACAGCAATCAAACCGGTGGCAGTGTTCAGTCGCATTTTGTCAACAATCATCAACAGATACTCGACACAGCGGACGATTATAGTGTACCAACCAGTCCCGCCAAGTCTGAGGTTTGTACTTCTTTTACTCAAAGTGGCATTTGACGCAATTGTAATATTGTGGGTGGTGGCATTGCAAATACTATATTATTGAAATTAACACGTTGACTGCCGTGGGGGTCACCGGTGGCCGGCACTCGACCAATAGTAAAAATAACATGTTAAGAAAAGAATATGTATCGTTGAAGGAACGCAAAAAGCGTCAGACTGTTAACTTCTTATTTAAAAAATCGTTGATTTAATTTATCAATAACTATACTTTCAGGACGAGACCAGTAATGACGGCCTGGTCGTCGACGTGGACGGCCCAGTGGGAGGCTCCGTCGTCGACGCTCGACAATTACGAGTGGGCCAGTTTGGAGAACCCTGCAAGATCAGTCGTCTGGATCACCACGTCCCTTATGGCGGTGGGACCACCGTTCGAATGAGGCCCACGATACGTGGTACCAGCAAACGTGGCAGGCCTCGTGGCTCCCGCAGAGGAGGTCCCGTGGGAGGGAAAGGCAGAGGCCTACTGTTGCTCCATCCGCCATCTAAGAGCATGGCTGGAAGCGATCCTCAGTCCCCAGCATCTTTGTCTCCCAACAATAGCAGCGCAGCCAGCGAGCAAACACAACAACACGGTGAGTGTTGGATTTGTTTCTCCTGGAAATTGGTATCCATTGCTGTTGTGCTAATAACGTAGACCCTATCTCAAGAAAAGGGGTCGTTCTGAATCTAATAACACTCTGGAGGTGTCATCAGAGGCTTTCAGGCTTGGCTCTCTAAGCTAGATCAGTGTCTGATGCATAGTTGTATCAAACAGAACTCAAACTCAATCAAAGAGGATGGCATGTTGGTAATTTGTTATTTAAGAAAATTGGCTGAGGAGTCCGGGTACTGTCGACCCCGGTCGCGGTAAACATCGGCATACCGGGTGGTTCGATACAACACGCCACTCCACGGTAACGCAGCAAGGACGATCAGAAAGAGATAAATAAATTATATCCATCTGATCAGATCGTATCTGATATGGAATCGCGAATAGCTGTCGTGCGGAATCGAGGAACGTTCGTTCGATGAATATTTCAATGTCCGTTTTGCACGGAACGCGCCCCAGTACCGTGACGTTCGAGAGTTCGGTTCGCGAACGGGGACATAAATATTTCATGCGTTCGTTTATTATTCGTTGTTGCCGCGATTAACATGAATAATTAACCGCATCAGTTTTTATGGATTATTCAGATTACAGGCAATACTTTATGCTCGCGTTATTGTGGTAATAGATCTGCATAACTGTTCCGAGTGATCGTAATGCTCGGCACGCGGTGCTTGGAAAATATTATCGCCTACGATCCTAGATCTTCAAGTTCCGCTTCGTTGATTCGCGCGACAGCAAGCAGTCAGTTTTCCGGTTAAAAAAAAAAAAAAATGGAAAGATGGAAAATTCTGGTCCGTTTTGAACAGAAACTCTCGAGAAAATTTCGTAATATTTGGTAACAAAAATTTACAAAAAATCCAAGATGCTAATCACGATCAAAGAAACTTGCCCGAATAGCAGGATTCAATTAAGCGAAACTTCGATATCAGCGATTAAATCGTGGAAAGAGGATTTCGTTACCCACCCCCTACTTTAATTATCTCACGAATGCTTTCGTTTCGAGCGCTCCATCTGCGCCGTAGTCGAAAATTCTCACTCGAAATTCTCGCTTGAATCGCCGCGAAACGAACGGGCAGCTCAGGGAGGATTAGTGGAAACTTACTCGAGGGGGGTCGGTGCATTAAGAAGAAGGGGGCGAACTCAAAATGCCCCTAGACGATGAAAATGACTTTTCGTGACGCACCCCTCGAATCGATACGCCCGTTAATCCCCGACTGACTCTTTCATAGACAGTCCCCCCCTCACCCCCCCTTCCTTTACCGCCATTTTGTTAGTGTAGCGCCGACTGGTCGGGTTCTCATGGGATTTCGCCGCGCAAAAAGGAGAAATGTCCCTCGTGGTCCTTGGATCCCTAAGCTGACAGCGAGAGTCCGACGAAATTCCCTCGCGGGCACATGTGCGCGCAAGTGCCAACGGGGAACAGTTGGCCAGCTTCCAGAGGGTACGGGGGATTCACCCTTCGAGGTACGCCCACCCCCTCCGAGTTTCGTGAGTCACCGTTCCGGCGCGTCGCGAGCCCGTGCCCTGCCCCCGGAGCGTCGCGGGCGCCCGTCGTCTATCAGATCCCGCGTCGTCTTGGAACATTGAAAATTATCGATCGGTAAAGTAGGTAAAAAAGCAGAATGCCTTTTCTAACCTCTCGTATGTGACAGTTATCAATTTTACCGCTGAACGTTACGACTCCGTCGAATCAGTGGATTTCACGAAACGATTTGCTACAGGCGCGAGAAATGCAATCGAGTAAATCTAACGAAAACGGTGGAATTCTCGGAACGTTATCGCGCCAACGTTCAAATCCCGCGCGAAATTTCATTTTAGGTTAGCGGGAAATCGTGTAAATAGACGAAAGCAGTCGCGTTCTTCGTTCGTTGCGCTGCAAGCTTATCGTGGTAGGTGTCCCCCGCTAGTGGTGACATCTGAAATTATACTCACGTGCCTACTGACACTGATTCATGTTGTTTGGGATAGACACTTTCGGATGTCTAGAATTTGATATTCGTAATTTAAGAAAATAAGCGTGCTCATCGTTGATCGGTTCTTTGGGGGTCTCGTGTGGCCCAGTATGCGTTGCAACGCGAAAGCATTGTGTCGCGGTGGTACGCGACGCGATAGGGGGAGAGCGGTGAAAAAACGAAGGAAAATACGGGCGACGCCCGGACGAGAGCGTGGCGCACGAAAACAAGTAGGTGGCCACACGCAACGGCGCGTGGACCGGGCAGTTTACGCGGGCAGACGTGCGCCTCGCGGCGCGACGATCTTCTTCTCCGTGCCACATATACGGAAAAGGAAAGGAAAAAGGGGTCGTCCTCTCTCTCCGTGCTTGTCGTCGACTGGAAGGCAAGCGGACAATAGCAGGTGCGGAGCGAACGCGACAGCTGCGATCGATGATGCTCTTCTTAGGTTTTTGGAACTCGCTCACCCTTCTCCGCTTGGCCCCCCCTCCCCCCTTCTCCGCCTCGCGACTATCACTTCGTTATCGCGCCACCGTGCGATGTTTCAGCCATCTAGGTAAACGCGACTCAAGTTCTTTTTCACTCTTTCAAGTATCTTCAAATTTTATTCTCTAGTGACGAATAAAAATTCTTCACGAACAGAAAAGATAGTTTTGCGTTAGGAACATGAACATGATGTTTCAATATTTTCGGATATCTCGAGCCCGCGACGTTCCCTCGTCGAGACAGTGCGGTGTATTTTCGTATTGTTTGCATAATTTCTCCGTGATCCCGGAAGGAACGTAGCGGTTAATAGGGGGTGGTTGGGATTCCGTCGATACACGCTGTGCCTGATCGTACCGCGCCGTGTCATCTCACTCCCCTTCCGTCATATTTTCGTGTCGCGAAACGGAAAGCAATTCCGAACAGTTCGAGTGGTCGCAAAGTTATGCTCGCGAGTTTCCAGTCCCGCGACGACCCCAAAGGTCCGTTTCCGTGCGACACGAAAGGTCGCGACATTCGATGTTGTGACATCGAGAATCACAACACACGTGTCACTGCGAGCGCTCGAACGTTGCGTTGCGGCATTCCAATTACAGATGTCGCGCCGTGTCGCGTCTGTCTCCTCCATCTTCGTTGCATCGTATCTAAACGGTCGCGATAAATAAGCAGAGTAAATAAACCGACCGAGCGAGTGTGTCACCCGCGCGACCACCGAACGATCAACGATTTATAAAAACATCCGTTATCTGCTCGTGACTCGTGGCCGATAAAACAGCCCGCCGTCTCGACTACCGTGGCTCTCGGTCCATAATCCCCGTTATTACGATAACAAATCAGGCGATTCATTGCTTTGGTCGACCTAGCGGATCGTTGGAGGCTGCAAAGGGGGACGGGGCCCTTTGGGGGCGCCGAAACTATTTCATTGTCCCGCTCTTTAGAATGCAATAATTTTCTCGGGGTTCCAGGGTGCCCCCAGGCGGGAGAGCGCCTCGGAGCGCCGTGAAAGCTGCCGCTAGGCTGCCAAAGGACGAAAGCACCGCGGTCCGGGGAGTCAAGGGGCAGTGGGTGGGGGGTACGAAGCGGGTTAGGAGCGGCGGGCGGGGGGATGGGAGGAGAGTTCGGCTGTTGCTCGGCCAGAGATACGGCAGGATAATGCGGGAAGATAGGACGGGGCAAGGATATTGCTGGCTGGACGGTCGGCATTCCGCGGATCCTCGCGTTCCATTCGCCCCTTCCAGCTGTATATATGTATACATATACCTCGAAACTTTGCTCGCAGAAGACCCTCTTTGTGCGTCCGGCGGGCCTCGTATCTCCCGGCGGGGATCTCACCCACGCGTGCTTTTCACGGGAATCGCGACTGTGCCCCTCGATGAGAAAATATTTCAAATCCCCCCGACCCCTCCTCCTCCTTCCCCTCCCCCGACCCTCCTCTCTATCATCTTCACCCTTCGTTTCGTTCGTACGGATATTAATTCAATTAGGGATCGATCCTTCGTCGACGTTGTGCCTCCCTCCCTCTTCCAGGTTGTGTTGCTGGAACAGGTTGTGCACGCTCCACGCGTATTATTCGGCCCGGAGTAGCTTTGCTTTTCGGCATTCGACGGGAGTAAACAGTCGAGAGGGGTCTATATTCTTAAGACATTATCGATATTTAACCGATGCTATCTCGAGTTTCGATTTATCGACGCGTAGTACAAAATTAATTTTTACGATTTTTTCGAACCAAGTATTTGTCAATGTGTTCTTCGAGAAAAATTATAAAAAGAATATCGTACAGGGTGTTCGACCACCCCTAGGAAAAATTTTAATAAGGGATTCTAGAGGCTAAAATAAGACGAAAATCAAGAATACCAATTTGTTGATGGAGGCTTTGTTAACAAGTTATTAACGTTTAAAGGTCTGCATGTTTTGAATTTTTTTCTAGAAAATGCGCAGGATTTCGGGGGTATGTCTGTTCACCAAAAGTGATTGTAATTGACCCCCACAATCGAAAATAATTTTTCCAGAACGATTTGCAATTTTTTTTTTCCGTCGAAAAATTTCACACCTTCTCGAATTTTTTTCTCGAAAGTGCGTAGGATTTCGAGGGTACATGTAATGATCAAAAGTGATTGTAATTGACCCCTGTAACTAAATATAATTTTTTTAGTATGATTTTAAATATTTTAATTTCGTCTAAAAATGTCAGTATCTACTCGAATTTTTTTCTCGAAAGTGGATAGGATTTCGGAGGTATGTGTATTCACCAAAAATGATTGTAATTGACCCCCCGCAACCGAAAATAATTTTTCCAGGACGATTTGAAATTTTTGAATTTAATTGTTAATAACTTTTTAATGAAGCCTCCATCAACAATTTGGTATTCCTGATTTTCGTCTTATTTTGGCCTCCAGAATCCCTCATTAAAATTTTTCCTAGGGGTGGCCGAACACCCTGTATAAGCGTAGGTTCTTAAATTCCGTAACCTCAAAATGTTCTTCCGTTTAAAAACTTACGTACAAGGGAAAAAAGATGTTAATATACGAAATTATTTTATTTGTAAATTAGGTAAACGTATACCGGTGGACAAAAATTATAAGATTGTGAAAATGATTCTACGTTATCTCGATTATTTAAGAATATTAATAATTTAATAATTTCCGATAATAGCATTCCATACGATTTGGTATCAGTGGCTTAGTACTTTTCTGTAAGGAATGATGACAATTATGCAGATGAATCGACTTCGACAATGATTTTCCATAAGTCACCATATGGTAATCATTGCCGTCGTTGGTGGCGCCACCTGACCTCTCTAGGTTTAATTTTCCACACGCGATTAGAAACATATTAACCAGTCCCAACACGACTATTCCCTACATCCTCGAATCATCGAATATTCATGCTTTTGTTAAATACAGCAGATAACCCAGATCTGGCGTAATGTTTTTTCCTATTTGGAAAAACAGCGACTTAATTCATTATAACGTGAAAAGTACGCCTCGAGTAGATCGTCCAGCAAGCTTATCCGCCGTCGGTGTTCGACCACGGCAATTCGATCAATCTTCGAATCGTCTGGCAACTCGATCTCCAAGGACCCTCTCGGCATCCCCTCCGGTGGCTCTCTTCGACGCCTCGAGAATCTCCTTCGTCGGCTCCTCGTGAATCCCGGGCGTCGGAATCGCGCGTAGAATTTCGAAAGCGCATAACGACCCCTCCCCCCTCCCCCCGAAAAACGTTAAGTTCGTTCCTCGAGCTTTTCCCACCCTCTTCAGCGCCTTTGTTCGCGGAGTGGCCACTCGAGGAGTTCCTGCGCGAGAGGTGGCTGAAGAGCGCCTACTGAAAGGATCGAGAACGTGCCAAGGAATGTCGACGACTCGGAACGACGCAAGGAACGGGGGAAAAAGGGGGAAAAAGGACGAACGAAACGAAGGAAGGAAGGAACGACTAGCCGAACGAGGACGGGTATAGAACGCCCTCTCTCGTACATCCTTGCTCGGCTACTGACCTCCGACCCTGTCACTCACCCTCCTCCACCTCCACCTCCGCCCAGAATTTTTCTCCCTCGCTATCTCATTAAATTCTTCTTCCCCCCTTCCATCGTCCCCCTCCCGCCCCTCCCCCCCTCCCATCCCTCTTCCCGCCGTCGGGCTCTCGTCCTCGCGGCCGGCTCCTGCGCTTACGATCAGTCGAATAGATGCCGTGGCACGATCCCCGAGTTTGTCTTCGTTCCACGGCGCGCGGCGTACCGGTGAATAACCGATTAACTGGTCAGACCACTCCACCGCTAAATGGAGGGCCTTCGGTATCCTGCATCTGCCATTATAATCGCGAAAAGTTGCACACGGGGCCCGTGGCCGTCGTCCTCTTTCCCGCGAAATTCGACGCTCTAGGGCACCTCCCGTCATTCGTGTCCTCACGACACGCGGTTGTCCCCTCGGCGAGACGCGACGGCGACTTTCTTGCGCCGGTAGCGATTGGCTCCGTCGATGCGCGGAAAGATTTCACGGCAGCTGCGCGCCAAGAAAAGCAGACGAGGACGTGGATCGGATCGCCGACGCAAACGATTCTTAATAACAAAATGCTTAGAGTTATTAATAGCACTTCGTATCACTACGGTTTCACGAGATATCGTCGCTTTGCTGGAATGTGTTTGTAGGTTAGGTTGACGCGTGGCTGTCATGGCGGCCAACCGAACGACTGTCGCCTCAAATTTAGCATGTTTCTTTTTTAGTAGTGGTAACTGTTTTTAATCTACGGCGCAGTTCAAGCGGGAGAAACTTGTACCTGGAGTTTTCGATGGGGGAATTAATATGTAATTAAATGCAGTAACCTGTCCAATACGTTTAAGCTCTTTTTGGCAATTTTCCATTTATCTCGAGGAACGTTTAAGCAACGGTTGAAAGCCAATCAACTTGGGATATGGGTGATGCCGCCCGAGGCCTATGGACGCAAACTGTGTCAAACAAATTACAAACGATAAGTATAGTAATTACTGTCGGGGTTGTCGCGATTTCTCTCCGTTCGGATTGTCACAATGTTATACTCGCTACCGTTTGGCGAATCATTTTCCACTGTATTCGATATAAAATGCTTGAGATTTTTTTAACTATCGTCTTCTAGTTGGCAAACATCTGACGATAGCGATTGACGAGCCAACGCTTCGCGTTGCAGGTCAAGGAACGTCAGGTCCGGCAGAGGGCGACGGACCCAGCACGGTGGGTCCTCTGGGTCCAGTGGGGAGCCTGGGGCCTCTGCCCGGCAGAGGAGGCCCACCGACGATTCGAAGAGGTCCTGGACGACCGAGACTCAGGCCCTCGGGTCCGGGGCATCAAGGGTACCGTACATCCGGCCACCATCATAGCAGGAAAGTCCAACGACCGCTCCCGGTGCCTCTTAGGTCCCAGCAGACGATCGCGACCATGAACCAACAGAAGTCCCCGGCCCAACGTCCCTCGGGGTCCGGTCCCTCGATCTCGTCCTCGTCCATGAACACGACCACCTCTTACCCCACTTCTGCCGAGTCGAGACCGTTTGGCTTCTACACGCAACAGCAACAGCAGCAACCACGGGGCTCCTCCTAGCTTTCGGAGGGAGAATTCCTTCGGGTGATCCTCGAAGGCGATTCCTGAGCTTTTTAAATTTTTAACAAGATCGAGACTTTTGTTGGCCGACTTTTTAAAGAGACGTTCTTGGCGAGACGACGAGAACCTGGGAGGATCCGTTCGAGGATTGATTATTTTTGGATCTTGCCAGGACCAAGCTTGAGAAGTTACGTCCCTGGACCCGACGATGGACCCAGGCTCGAGGATCTTCGTCGGGGGAACTTTTTTTTTCTGCTTTCTTTCCCCGACGATAGCGCGCGCGGATCGGTTGTTCCACTCTTCCGAGCGAAGGACTTTCTGGACTCTCGATTCATCGTAGCAGTTGGTGTCGCGCGCGGCGGTTTCACGCTCAAATAGTGCAATGCAGATCTTTTTCAAGGGCTCGGCGGACCGTTCGTCGAGGCTGGCTCGCGTTAGGAGAATTACGCGCGAGTTCGATCGGTCGCACCGAACGTGTTTCGAGGTTCGAACGATGAGCATGTTTCGAGGTTCGATCGATGAACATGTTTCGAGGTTCGATTAGTGAACATGTTTCGAGGTTCGATTGATGAACATGTTTCGAGGTTGGAACGATGAACATGTTTCGAGGTTCGATCGATGAACATGTTTCGAGGTTCGTGTCGCAGTCCCCCTGAGACCTCGTCGTACGATTCTCGCGTGTAAAGTATATGTACAAAGGTCGGTATTTAAGCGATTAATCGATTAAGGAGAATTTCGCGGGATCGCCGCCGGGAGTCGTCTAGACAATTTGTACAAATGAATCACGCCACTCGTTGTTAGGTACTTAATGAAAGATCGAGCACGCCGGATCGGGAAGAGGGAGCGAAATTCGACGGAAACGGAAACGGTAGCCGACAAGAATGATCGCCCCCCAACGAGAGATCCTCGAAGGACGTCGAACGATCCGCGTTTAAGCGAAGACCTCCGGGACGAATACGAACAAAATGGCGAGGAGCGCCGTCAGAATAGCTTTCTATAGTTTTATTTCTTCTAGTTTTATCTCCGTTAACTCTTCGATGGTCGACGCGACGAGACACGAACGATCATCAGAGCGACTCGACGAGGCCAAGGTAGCGGAGGCGCCTTTTATCGCGGACGGACGATGATCGTTCGACGAAACGAAGCATCCGGAGAGGGGGACTACCCCTGATCCCGTTCTTCGTTCGTTCTTTCGCTCTCGTTACTAATCTATCTCTCCTCTGAACTGTTTCCCCTCTATGTCTCTCGACGTATTTACGATTCGTCGTCGCTGTAGCACTGTTCCGTCATTAGGCTCGGTTAGACGATATTATTTTTTCCGCAAGAGAATGGTATTTATATTAGCAATAAACGTTTACAAATGGCCGCTGAAAATGTTCAATCTCATCGATCGCCTTCAAATTTGTCCAGCGAAGAAATGATTGCAATCCGTTCGCGTTGTGTTATTGGTACCGCGTTGAGTGTAGAACGTTGTACAGGATGATAAAAAAAAAATTGGTGTAAGTGTATTTTATGACTCCGCTAAGAAGTATGTACCAATGAATATTTCCATGTACATTTAAGAAACTGAAACGAATACAATAAGGTTATAGAGTGGTTGCATCGCGATGCCATTGAATTCACGGATCCTCGGTTGTCGTAAAGTCACTGGTATATAGTTCATTTACACGGAATTCTATTCGTACTACGATTACTATAGGTTTATTAAGAGTATGCAAGGCGACTAAAAAAAATGATGTTATGAAATTTGTAGTTTTTTTTAGTTGTACAATCAATAATGTACAGTTCAATTGTATGAAATTTTATTCTTACTACCATTGTCCTAGATCCGTAATATTATACAAGACAATTAAACAATGATGCTACAAAATTCATAGACTTTAGATTTTTTTAAAAAAAAAAAAGTTAGTTCTTGGTATAAAAAAAAAACATTTTCCCAATTATGGCGTTCCTACGCCGTTGCATTTGTATTCCACCTCGCATTCCTGGCGTGGCGGCGCGGGAATCACGAGTGTCCAGTTGATAGCTTTTTGCCTCGACACGTCAACGCGAACGAGGTAAACGAAGTAAATGAACCAACTGTGAATAATGGATGCGTCAACCTGATACTAGTTATTCCTGCCTAGGTATCAGCGTTCACCATTCACGACCTTGTTAACTATTAGGTCGAGTCACAAGTAACTTCCGTTTTTTTATCAGACATTTATTTTGCTCCCATTAAAGAACAAAATTATATTAATTTATTATGCATTCACCACTATTATCTGTAACCTTCTCCCATCTTCCAGTTTATCAATTCCTTCCTTGTAAAATATGGTTGGTTTGGACTGGAAGAAGTCTTCGATAGCCTGCCTGACTTGCTCTTCAGAATTGAAGGTTTTTCTGAACCTAGAAATAATTTTTTCAGAACGATTTGAAATATCTCTTTTTCGCCTAAAAATTTCAGTACCTATTCGAATTTTTTTCTCGAAAATGGGTAGGATTTCAGGGGTATGTTTATTCACCAAAAATGCTAGTAATTGACCCCTGTAACTAAGTATAATTTTTCCAGAACGATTTGAAACTTTTCAATTTTGTCGAAAATTTTCACACCTTCTCGAATTTTTTTCTAGAAAGTGGGTAGGATTTCGAGGGAAGGTTTAATGACCAAAATTGATTGTAATTGACCCACGCAATCGAAAATAATTTTTCCATAACGATTTGAAATTTTTCTTTTTGTCGAAAAATTTAGGCAAAATTGAAATCGACAAACTTGTAAATCGTTGGAAAACAATTATCGAAAAAAATGGAGACTATACATATAATCGATCGATAAAACTGTATGCTATAAAATTTAACCAATTGAACTTCATTTGTAAATCGATTATGCAATCGTCTAATATTTTGCAAGAATTGTGTAATGAAAATAGAATTCTTTCTATACAGTTACTAATCTGTTTATGAGGAGAATCTTAACCTATAAATTATAACCTCTCCGCGGTGCCAGTGGAAGATGTCGAGAGAAAGTCAGACAGTCCGAATGCGTCCACATTTGAGACAAAATGGCGACTGGAAACCCCACGAATTGTTGACCAATTGAGTGCAAATTACATGCCCCTCCCTGTGTTCCCCGCTTTCTACATTTTTTTACGCGTGTCAAGAAAATAGCACGCGATGAAAGTAAGCCCATAATTCGCTAGAAACTATCATTGCTGAATTATCAGTTCCCCCTACCATAGTGATTGCTACTTAAATCATGTTCTTAACTCGATGGTCGATAATCAAGCGAAACGCTGGGAAGAAATGACATTGATTCAGAAACTTCACTGTGTGCAACGCATTGAAGCTTGGTTTTTATCGATTGGCCCCATTCTGCTCGAATTAATCGAATACTCACATGATGTGGATACATGACAGATTTATTTACAAATATTATGTTTCCTTTTCTTGTTATTCTTTATTATACATATATAATCAGACCTCATGGCAATGTACCTCATGCTATAAAAAAAGAAGACTTGTTTATAGATCATATAGGTTATAGATCAGGCACTAAACTGGAAGTGATCTCAACTAGTTGTCTTTCACTGCAAATTACCAGAATCGAAGATAGAAATAGTTGTCCAAACAAGGAACCAAGCTAGGAAGCACCTAATTTATGTTTGCAAGGTGGGCAATGTCCTGATGGTGGTTGACAGTCTCCCAAAGTAGTTAAGAGTACATGTATCGTTGCTTAATGACCTAGACAGTAATCTTGCAATGCAAGTTGACAGAACAAAACAGGAAACAGAGTACCAGTTGAGTGAGCAAGAAAAACCTTCCAATACAAGATGGGAACATAGTAGTTACCAACAGTAGCATAAGCACTAGTTGTAAATTATATGAACACCAAACACATTCCACAATTTCTGGCTATTCTCGATTCTTCCATACCCCATCAGGAAAAGGAATCCTTCAAATCCTCTGTCACCTTGTTTCCCAATCCTTTAACCTTCTAATGATGACATGACCCTACTACATTACATTGAAATCGTTATGTCCATGAGGCAGACCTCTGCTTCTAAATACAAGCGTAAAACCGACGTTACTAATTAACTTTGCCTTCCATTCACACGTCCTGCATCTCGTTTCTCAACTGCCACCCATTTGTCTGATTCCCACCTGACATCATCGCGCAGAAATCCCTTCACCGTTGTCGCCGTTGTGAAAAACACTGTTCCAGAATGCCCGTGCGGATCCATTATGAAACGAAAGCGTTACGTTAGTGTCGTCGAAGGAGAAGGACCAAGGAATTCTTCGGAATCAAGATTCCAGCGCGCGGCGACAGAGGACGAGAGAGGCGCGCCTGTAACCCGAGGGCGACGATCATCGACGCTGGGCAAGCAGCTGCTGGCGGTAGCCGCGTCATCATCTGCGTGATTGGTTTCGATGCCGATCATTCCCGGTCGTTCGAGACACAGAGCAGAGGCTCCATCGTTCTTCGTTCAATCCCACCTCCCACGTACCGTCGTCCAAAGGTTCAGCGTACCTTTTAGGCTCTGCATGCCCTGGTCAGCCACACTGCATAGAAATAGAAGTCCCGATTAGTAGAGAACTATTGTCACACCTGGTGAACCAGTCACCTGTGATGGAATGTTCCTTTTGTTTAATCTCTGGGCTGGCTACTTGCTTACCTCTTCTTTGTGGGAGGTGGTTTATGGGGGATCCTATTCAGATGTTAGGTTCTAGGTAGGTTTACAGATAGTAATCAAGGATTGAGTTAGAGTCTAACATTGCTCGAGTTGTGGGCAGATGTGGCACATATTAAGGTGTGTAGGATTTCATTTCTTGATGAGTTAGCCTCTATGAAGGCACTAGGTAGTTTTACAGGTAGCTTTACAGATAGTAGTCAGGGGTTGAGTAAGAGTCTAACATTGCTTGAGTTGTGGACAGATGTGTTACATTGTAATGTGTGTAGGATTTCATTTCTTGATGAGTTAACCTCTATGAAGGCACTTGATTCTAAATTACATTTGATATATTATAGAAACTTAATGGTACCAAGTTCATGGTAGCATCAGGCTCTATTTGGAAGTTTGTTGACTACTCTTAATACCAAATCTGGTACATAATTCTACCAAGCATTTGGTTATACAAGAATCCCCAACTAGGTAGCACAAACTTGGTATTATTATTAGTAGCATTAGGCTCTATTTGGAAGCTTGTTGACTACTTTTAATGTCAAATCTGATACATAATTCTACCAGACATTTGGTTATACAGGGATCCCCAACTAGGTAGCACAAACTTGGTATTATTATTAGTAGCATTAGGCTCTATTTGGAAGCTTGTTGACTACTTTTAATGCCAAATCTGATATATAATTCTATCAAACATATGGTTATACAGAGATCCCCAACTATGTAGCTCAAACTTGGTGTTATTAAAATCCTAATTGTCATGTTGTTGATAGATGGCGTTATGTTCTATGCAGAAACTGCAACCGCCATTTGCGTTGCGTCTCGACGACGCGTCCACGCCCTTTGGTACCTTTCGCGAGAAACTAAAAGCTGCCTAGTGGAACTAATAGTGGCAGCTGGGGAAATAAATTGTGCCTTCGACGCAGGAAACGGTGGGCGATTTAGAGACTCCAGATTCAGTTCCCTTTGTACCTCGAGCCGTACAAAGCTGCCAATTTTCGATCAATGCGAGGATTTAGCAGCACTCAATTGCTACCAATCATCGACATAATAATTCAAAGACATTTTAACGCCTATACATTGTCCATCATTTGTTACTAGTGTAACCGAGTTTCAGGTTAATTCTAACCTATATTGCGGGACTCGTATGTATCTGGAACAGAAGATAAATTCTACGAATGTATATTCTTTTACTATTATAGTTATTAGTAGACTGCGGATGTTTATGCATTTATGTGAAATTTTAATCCTCAAAAAACTACAGAATCCATTTAATATGCAAAAATATAAGAAATACTTAAAGTAAGATACGAATTATAAAAATGTGAATTTGCATAAAGATCCACAGTCTAGTTATTAGATAGTAGTGAATTTTATGTAGACTGTCAGTCTGGTGCAATTACGTGCAGAATAAGTAGGTTTAGGTTAGGTTACTTTTGGGGGTCAGACCAATGGTATTGTTTTGTATTTAAATTCCAAAAACTTTAGGCTCCTTCCTCAGAAGCAACGAAACTGGTTGATTGGAATATCGAGCAGATGCAGAGGTAAGTATTCCTCGGGGAGCGATATGCAAATCGCGGCGCGGTTCCAAGAATTTCCAATGCTGTATCAGCATTCTTATTGCGAGTTTCTCGCGATTGTCGATGTCGAAAACGGATTTTTTCAATGAAGACGTATAATTAAGCGCCCGCATAGGTTACCCTCGGACTGTAAATTCTCAAAGGTCGTTCGCAAGTAAAAAGTAGATATTTATAGGTGGCGCTGCGCGTTCAGCAGACTCGAGAACAACTGTAGGCTATCAAACAACGTCCATACGTCTATGGTGTTTTCCACGAGATGTTGACACGGGGTTTTATCGAGTAATCGATCGAACCAACGAATGACAGCGATCAGTAGCTTCTGGTGGTTCTTAAAACCAATAACACGCTACGGAACCACGGTTAACGATCATCAACGAAGACAATAGAAACGAGAGTAGAGTGAAGTCGTGGTAGGAGCCATCGACCATTCAACCACCGACGACGTTTAATTTTCCGACCGACTGGCCAGAGAAAAGCCGAAGAAAAAAAGGGGTGGGCGGCAGACTGGACGAAGGGAGGAGGGGGAGGTGGAGACTGACCAGACCCGATCAATTTTATGTCCCTCGGATCAGACGATCGTGTCCGACGGTGGCACGAGAAA